CATGTCGCGACGTTTCCGTTGCCTAGGTGATTGAAACAATGCATTGAAACGAAATTTTGATCCTTGTTCACGGGTACTATTCGCGATCCCAATTTTGATTTTGCATTGTTGTCGTGCATCAATTGGATGCCAACCTTCATAATAAAAAACAATCAGAACAAAAAATATAAAGACAATAAAATAAGAAATTCAAACTGCAAGAAGTTGTCCAACTTGCCATGATTCTAAAAAGAGGAATAGTCTCAACTTCCTTGGCCGTAGATGCCCATAATGAAGCCAAGAAATATAACCGGTTCCATAAACATTCAATTTCTTCCAATCTTATCTTTGAGAATCCTTGCATTCCTCTCCATCCATATCACCTAAATAAGAGCAAAAAATGCACTCTGTCAAAGGATCCTATCTTTTGGACTTCCTCCCAAACCCTTGGAACCCACACTAACCATTGATGTCATTGAATTTGGAGCCACCCAAGAAATGCCAATATACTAAAACAATTTATTTCATAGTGAAAATGTAATGAGACAATTCAAAAATAAATGGTCCACAGTCTCACCATCACCGTTGCACATAACACATCACTCGGTGAAAGACAATGCATAAGTGTCCTTTTTTGAAGCACATCATTAATATTAATCTTACCATGAGCAATTATCTATGTACAAACTTGCACCTTTAAAGGCACTTTAGCCCTCTAAATCTCCTTAGACGGATAAAAAAATGGAAGTGTAGAATAATCAATTGGAGACCCAAAATAAGATTTGCAAGAGAAAATACCTGGAGAATCACTAATCCAAACTCTTTTATATAACGTATTTGGAGATAATGAGACATCATTAAGCATGGAAAGAAGCCTTAAAAATTTTGAATACTCTCTATCATTGAGATTCCTACGAAATTCAAAATCCCAAGAAACTAGATATGTATACGAAGACACTAAAGAAGCAATACACTTACCATGTTGACAAGAAAGACGATAAAGGCGAGGGATAATGTAGAAAAAGAATACTCCCCCTCCAAACATCCTTCCAGAAGCCCACTTTCAAATCATTTTCCACCATAAACTTGATCTTCTCAGAGAAACTAGACAACCCTCAAGGAATAAATTTCCATGGACTCTGAAAAGTGTCCCTTTCAGCCCCTTGCCATTCCACCCATTAGTCTGTAATCCATATTTGCTTCTAATAACCGTGTGCCACAATGAATCTTGCTCCAAAGGAAATCTCATTTTTCAACTAAAACCACATTCTTTTTAGCAAATTTTCAGCCAATGAACCATCCCTAATCTTAGGCCTAGACACAACCTCCCATCTAATCAAATGATCATTTTCCTCTTCCTCCCTTCATTTCCATAAAAAAACTCTTATCATCCCCTCAATCTCTTTGCCACCAAGAAAGACATTTTAAAGAGAGACAAAAAATAAATGGGTACACTAACCAACACAGACTACACTAACATTAACCTACCTCCCTTAGAAATAAATGTTTTTTGAACCCATCTAAGCTTTTCCCAACTCTCTAATTACAGGGTCCCAAAATGTGTTAACATTGGATTACCATCTAAAGAGAAACCTAAATATCTTAGCGGCCACTCACCCATAATACATTCTAATTCCTAAGCCAATCTGTCAATCTTTTCTTGACTATAATTAACCCCATAACTTGATTTTTTTCCTTGTTTATATTTAGACTAGAAATCATCCCAAACACATTAACTATCTTCTCTAAATTCCTAAATTTCTCCACGTTCCTTGAGGAAAAGAAAATTGTGCCATCTGCAAATTGCAAATAAGACACATAGATTCCTTCCCTACCTATCACATAACCTTCCACCAATTACATCTCCATGCTCTTTCTATTAACCTACTTAACTCGTCAACCACTAGAGTGAATAAGAAAGGAGATCATGGATCACATTGTCTAATCTCCCAGTATGCTCTAAACTTTCCCCCTAGGTCTTGCATTTAACATAACAAAGAAGTTCATTGATTCCAAACACCCCTTAATCCATGTCCTCCATTTATCACCAAAACCTTTAGCCTCCAAAACAAAATCCAAAAAAACTCCAAACCACATGGTCATAGGCTTTTTCAAAATCAATTTTCAACACAATTCCTTCCTCCCCTCGAACTCTATAATCTTCAACTTAGATCCAGATCCGGCTCTCAAAAGCCTCTCTACCTAATTGAAAGAACCTTGGCTATGATTTTATACAAACTAGTTACTAAAGTTGTAGCCTAAAATCCTTCAACTTCAATGAATTATCTTTCTTCGGAATCAAAAAAATATATGTAGCATTAGTAATTGCACTAACCACCCCATTATGGAAAATTCTTCAAAAACCTTCATCAAGTCTTCCTTTATTTCATCCCAACACACCTCATAAATTGCCATTGTAAAACCATGTGGACTTGGAGCTTTGTCTCTACTGCACTCAAAAACAACTTCTTAGTTTCTTCAATCTCAAAAGGCCTCTCCAACCACCTAGCTACCCCTCCATTTATAGGATGCCAACCGAGCTCATTCAAAGAAGGTCTACATCTATCATTAGCAATGAATAAATTGGCCAAAAAAAAAATATCAATCCTTCTTTTTTTCAATCAACTCCTCATCCTCAATAATCATCCCATAATCTTTTTCAAGTTTCTCTATGGTTCCTTAACCAATTTCCATTGGCCACGCTATGAAAAAATTTGGAATTATTGTCATCTTCCATAACCCATTTGACTCTAGAGTTCTATAAAAAAATGGTTATGACTATTTTTTCACGTGTCTAGCTATGTGTATACGTGAAATATCATTGGTGTCTGGGACTCAATAGCTTGGTTTAGAAAGACAAAAAATTTAATAATGAGTTGTAATTGGTATGTCTTGGTTGGCAATACTTTATCTCAATTTACTTGTAAGGAAAGGAAAACAAAACCAAGCATAATGAATTTTGTTTGGAGTATCTCTAAGATTTTTTCATTGGCATCTTTGGTAGCTTTTCAAAGGAGAGAGGGACGGGGTATCTTGAATGACATATGGTGTTTCTTTTTGTTTTACCTTCTTTTAAGGGAAGAAAAAGGTGGGGGAGGAGGGCTGTTGTCGCCCGGGGGGTGGGTGGGTGGGTGGGTTGGGAACTTTCTATTGGTGGGGAGGGATTTTGTGATAATAGTGCTATAGTTTTTATTGTTGTGCCACTGACATCTTTGGGTAACAATTTTGCTTTAGAAGAAAGTTTCTACGTGTTTATCAGCGTGATCAAATGTGATGTGCATTTTATAAAGAGTTTTTGATTATGCAAAGAAATCTGGTCAAATTTCGACCATGTATGATGGTTTGAAACTAAAATTTCAGCCACCATTCCACATGCAAACAGAATAATGAATTTGCATTTAATGCTGTCATTTCTTTTGTTGCAATAAACCTCCAGTTTGGCTATTGCATTGATGTTATTTGCCTAGGACCGAAATTTTGTTTCGGCACGTACTGTTGGTTAGCTCGAAAATGTTTCAAACATATTTTGGAAACAGATTGGAAATAGAGGAAAGTTTTTGGGAATTTGTTTTCGAAACTGGCGTAGGAAGACCCTATTAATTGACCCAATATCCGTGACTTGTGGAAAGGCGGAATCAATTCCTTTATCCCATAGCTCAGGTTTTAGTCAATCTGGGCAAACCCCCATCAATGCGGGAAATGATGCTCTCCACATTTAGGATGCTCTTGCATCATACATCCACATTGGAAGAGTCTTGAACTTAAGACCTTTACCTCTGATACCATTTGATATAGGAAGCTTGACCACTTGGCTCAAACTTCGCGACTTGTGGGAGAAGCGGAATCAATTCCTTTGTCCCAAAGCCAAGGTTCCAGTCAATTGGGGTGGGGCATATCAGTAAGGGCAATGGCGGATTTAGGGTGAGGAAAGAGGGCCTTAGTGCTTTCTTGCCAAAGCATGAACCGTTCCAATTGTAAAGTTAACTACAACAGTGGACTCAAGGTAAGCAAATTCTCCTGATTCTTGACCAAACTTCAAGGACTTGGTTCTGGTTTTATACTAATCGTCCCTTTTGTTACATGATTTTTTCTTCATATGAATAGATATAGGATCTATGGGATAATTACTTAGAAGTACATTGTATTTTTTCACAAAAAGTAGACATGAAATAACAAATCCAGTGTTTCATTAAGATTTCGAATAGCGGTCCTGAATTCAAATTGATTATAGGAATACGGGTGAAAGAATTGACTTTTATGAGCTGTCTTAGTAGTGATCGACTTTCTTCTACTTTTCGTAGTTGTATGATTAGTGGCTTACCTGTTAACTGTCTAAAAGCTAAAAGCTATGGTAAAGTAAAAGAAAAAAAGAGATCCATTGTGAAAGGATTAGATTGTGATCTGCTATCATTACATACACAACTATACTAATTGAAATTGAATGATTATTTAACAATATTATGTTGGAATTGAAATGTAATTTGTTAAAATTCAACTCTCATTTAATTATTTGGATCAGGTTGCCTTTTATTTTTTAAAAAGATTTGGATATGAACTACGAGAATTAAGTTCGTTAGATAATCAAATCAAATTCGAATTGAGTTTCATTTCGGATCCGAATTAATCAAAACTTGACCGTTGACAAACCTATTAGCTATTTATTTGTGAGATGCAACGAGTAGTGATTATGGTCGTTTAATCATTCTGTTCAACATAATGGTTGCCCCCACTGCGACAAAGTCCTGGCTCTGTACCCTGAGTGTGGGAAATGATGCTCCACAACAAGGATGCTTCCACATTAGAAACATTGGTTAAATTATCCCGAAACATCTCAAAACATTCCGGTACACCTCGAAACATGGGAATTTCAATATTTGATTACTATTCCTTTTTGGTTTCCTTGGATGGAAACTATTTGATTGTTTCTAGAAATAAAATTTGGATCATAGATGGGGAGATTGGGTGCAGATTTTTATGGTTTCCAGCATTTAATCTGTTGTTGTGGTATTTAATCTACCATGCAGATTTTTATGGTTTCAGCATTTCATCTGTTGTTGTGGTATTTAATCTACCTAGTTATAGTGGTCAATTTTATAATCTTTCCTGTTGTAATGTGATTGGAGTGCTTAAATGGCAAGCTAATTGGATCGTGAAAGCTATTGCACACTACTAGAATCGTTGTGCAAAGCCATAGAAGGATGCTAGGTTGAGATGATTGTGCTTATTTCAATCCAGAATATAGATTTTTGAACATTAAAGCACAGTTGATCACCATTATTATTGCCTTAATTGTAGAATTGGCTTAGAAGTATTAGTTGTTCCCTTCCAGAGAACATGGTTTATTTATGGTTAGTGAGCATCAACCAGCGAACTGCTCTAGTTGGCCAACCCTGTAAATTTTTTGGGCAGTGTGAATGGAGGTTAAAGAAAATATTTAATTTTTAAATTGTTTCATTTGAATTGTTCCTTATTGACCTTTAACAGCTCAAGTGTCTTTTCTGTTGTAGCAGTTTTGGTATAAAATTTATGCTTGTTGCATGCATATGTGCAGAATGACAACCAGGTCCTTACTAAAACTTGTACCTAAATGTTGTCTTTTGATCAAGGTGAGGACTATGCGCACAAACAATCACTTTGAAATGAGGGAATACAATTTGGATGTCCTTCAAGATGAAGAGGATTCATCTGTTCATGCACAAGGGAGGCCATATCCGATATACCCTTCAAAAGGAGGTCTAAAGCCAAACTTCCTTAGAGATATGATTTCAAGGTTTGTGTCGCAATTTTTGTAATCGGATAGAGTATATTCTATGTGCATTACCTTTGACGATCTATTGTTTTGGAAACTATATGTTCTTCCCCTAGTGTAAGAGACCTATATGTTCATGGACATTGGATATAGCTCTTTTATGTTTTTTTGTTACTTCATGCTGCTTAATATTTGTCTCTGTTTGTGTGTTTTCTTTGTTTCTTGCTTGTAGTTATTACTGGCTGTCCTCGAATTGCTCATGCTTGTATTTGGGCGTAAGATCTTCTTTAAGGAGGTCACTTAGTAAGGTAGAACAAAACATACTGTTGAGACAGCATTGATTCTATTCAGAATGTCAGGACTGATGGCATTTAACCATCCCTTAAACCTGGACAAACCAGCTGGATGTGGGTATGTGTTCTATGTGGGGGGCATTAAATCCACCAAAAAGGTTGAACTGTTGGGGTGTCAATGTGTCTTAACAAAACAAGGCTAAAATGATGTTTTTACATGACAGTATTTCCGCTACTATATTTTCTTGCATAATGATATTTCATGGAACAATTGGATGCCTTAGGATATGATTTGGAATTTGTGTGTCTGAAAATATTCCAGATAGCATGCCAGAAAAAATCTCATGCCCATATGCATGCCTATCATGCCTGGGACAGGTTCTTTGCACTTCTTGGAAGGGTCCAAGTGGCATAGCCTGTAGATTATCAACAGGGTGAGCTGTGAATGCACTAGCACAGTTTTTGTCTCTAGTTTGATGTTTTTCTATGAGTCTATGTTTTGTCATATTTTCATGATTTCATTCATAATTACATAGTTGTATATGTTGCTACCTCTTGTTATCAGTATGTTATTCCTGCTGCTATTAATTTTACAATTTTATGTTTATGCATTACACAAACACTGTCATAATGAAGAAAATCCATGCCTAGGATTACACAATTTTTATATCTAGCTTCCAATGGATTGGAAATCGCTCCAAAGGGATTTTCTGTAATTTGTCTAGCATTCTTGTTGCTAGTACGTTTCTGTTACATCAACATTTGTTTTGAAAGGTGCTCTTGCCTTTTGTGCTTATTGTTTGTGTAGGCATATGTATGTGCTCTTTTGCATTGAGTTTTCAGTTTCTACTGATGAGTTTTTGTCTTTTTAGAAAATAAACATATCATGGTCTACTTGGAGACCTACATTTGTGACAAAAAAAATGTTTTGTATATTCAGTAGGGCTTCAACTTGCTTAGATATGTCTTCAACCAGCCTCTTTGTGTTTTGGCTTTAGGAATTTTGGTTGTGTTTTACTTAATCTGTTTGGAGATGCAATGGAGATGGCCAACTTAAAAGCATCCGTGAATTTACTACATGCGGTCGCCACACTGACATATTTAGCTACATGCCTAATTTTTTTGGCCATTATTCGAAGATCATCATTTTAGGTGGAATAATTTGAGCAGAAGTATTAGAACTTGTCACTTCAAAAAGTAGAAAAGATGAATGGAGGATTCCAAGTAGAAATTACAAGTGGAATGGAATTTTTTCATTTATTAAGAGGTAAAGTAAAATAGAGTACTTATCCCATTTGTTGGCATGTCTATTGAGCGGCAAAATTTTTTCCTGCCTATGTTCATGCAAAATGAATAATTAAGTATTTTATGACATGTTTAGTGGTGGAAGGGAGATTTTGTCGGTGTTTCTCAAAAGTGGTAGATGCTTTAGCCTATTACATTGTCTTAGTTTTCAAGTATTTTATCAGTTGTTACGATGTAGTGATTTCAAGCATTTATGTTTTACATCTTTCAGAGCCTTAGAGACCTTGCCTGTCAATGTTGATCCTATTCCTAAAGATATCACTTTGGATTTTGGACTTCTATGCCTTCGTGATGTAAGCACACAAGCTTTCATATGTTTCTAATGGGTTTTTTGGTGTAAATTCGAGTTGTTTGTCCTCTCGTTGAGTATGGTGACTATTACGATGAAACATGATCGAAGTTTCTTTTATTTGTTGCAGTGTATTTTAGTAGTTGAAACTTGTGGAGCAAGCAATTGCTAATGTAACTTTAGATGAACATAATAATAATGCAAGTAGTGCTGGTACTAAAGAGACTAAAAGGAAAAATTCATTCACAATTTAAATGTACTAAAGGGAAACATATCTTTCCACGGATCAAGTTCTGGTAGAAAGTGGTGTGGTAATGTGTTTTAATGAATTTATTATAATAATTCTAAAGAATGACTTTCTGAGAAAAAAATTCTGAAGGGTGTAGTATAGAATTAAACTCTAAATTTGGATGGAGGCCGGATACTTTTCATGTTGTGCATCTTTGGCGTCCAAGGTTTCTCTCCGTACTCTACAAGTTATATCGCTCCTAGGTTGTCGTTATAAATATTGCTTTTTGTTATGTGCCCCTCTATGCTTTGGTTTAGTCTTATTTGAGTGACATGAGACAGAGTATGAATCGTTTGACCTTTAATTTGGAATTCAAAATCATGAAAGTTTATGTGGATGGCTATCATAACACCCTAGAAAGAACCAAAATTGTTGGATAGGGATTGGACATGTGACAACTGTCTGTAAAGTCTCTCTTGTGGCAGGGATGGTGAACTTAAATCAAAGCTTTTGAGACCTTCTATGTGACCTTCATTTTGGGAGGATGAGTGATGTGCTTTCTGTTCTTATGACTGGTGGTCAAACTTCGTCTATATTTCCCAATTAGGTGCCAAGTAGGTGCACACAAATGTCTGTCAGATATAGACATTGGTGTCTGACGCATCAAATAGAAGCGCCTAATTTTCAGCAAGAATCATGTCCTTAATATGGAATTCTGAAAAAGGGGGTCTTTTCATCCAATATGAATATTTTTTATACAGGAACTATTTTTCCTGTTGGCGATGTGATTTTGTCCCTACTATGTAGTGCACAACATGATAATTAGGGCATTTTTCAAGGATTACAATATCGGTATCCTTTTAGTTTTCTCCACTTGGATGGAATGCCTCACTTCTATGTGAAGGTAATCTTCTATCAGAATTCAGGTTGGCAAACAGATTTCCAAGCTTGCACTATAATTCTCTCTCCGTGTGTGTGTGTGTGTGTGTGCATATGCATTGGTGTGTGGGAGACAACTGGCAAGTTAGTCTTTCACTCTTTCTTTCTCGCCTAGTAATGCTTTGTTAAAGATGCAAGTAGACTGGTTATGGTTCCATAGAACTGATTCAAGAGCAGAGATTGACTCATGCAAGGGATTTTCCACATGAAGATAATTGTTTGAGGACCACAACTTAAATCAAGAGAAAGAGCGATTATTAAGGCATGCTGAGGTTGCCTAAGGATTAAAGAATTAAGGTTTTGTGTTTGATTGGAGATCTTTGTCTGAAGGTACCTAGTTTATGTTTGGTGGAAGCAAGTTCGTTGCCATAAGGTTCAGAAGGTAAAGAACATTTTGAGAGTTTACATATCCTGGGAGCATCCAGCTCACCTGTAAGACACAGGATTGCAAAGTTTGGGTGCTGGTTCAATAGAGTTTAATGAGGAGGATAGCACATCGTAAGTCCCTACCTGGTATGATAATGGAGAATTTTTCTTTGCTAGTCATCACATTTATACTAGCTGTCCTAGGCACAGTGGTTTCTAAAGTTGCAAATCAAAATGAAGGATTGACTAAATTCAAAGGCAATGCCACTGGCCATAGGAAAAATTAAACTTTTATTCAGATAGTGGTGACAAGTCTTTCTAAGTGGAGAGTTTGCCACAAATCACAAGACGTTGGCTACGGAGCGGATCTCTCATTGGCTTTTGGCCAGAAATTGTACACTTTATCGTGTTGTTTTTCATTTTGATATGTCCCTTAGCATCTAATTTAAACTAGAAATAAATCGTTTGAGTATCCCACAAATGAGAAAAGAATAGACAAAAAAGAATGAGAAATGGACAAGAGAATTAAATTTCATCAAGGTGTTTTTCTTTCTGCACCCGTAGAAAATATTTTTTTATCCTAGTGCTCCTTCTATGTTTCAAGACATGCAGGTTGCCTGGGTAGTGGAACAAATATAACATTTTCGCTGCACAATTAGGGGTAAAATCACACACGAGTATGCTTATATGTATGAAATGTCTATAGTCTGTATGCATTTATTTATAGTCCCCTGTTTGAATTATGAGTTTATGAGGTATTGACATGGTGGGTGCTGGATAATTAGTAAAATTCTTGAATCGTTCTTCTTTCTATTGTATGTAGCCCTGGCGATCATGTTTTTGATTTATTTTTTGAATGAAGTCGTCTGGTCATGTTGTAAGGCTCATCTGTAGGTTTGCCAACTGTGAAAATAGATTTTGAGGGTATACTTTTGCTGCTTAAACAGATTTTGAGGGTAAATATTTGGAATTATACTTTTGTTCATGTAGACTAGTTATATAGACTATAAAAGTGCTGACCTGGCATTCACCTTTAACATAATTTATGTACGATTAAATGGTTTTTACTTTTGCTACTTGAACAGATCATGCAAAATGTGTAGCTGTGATCTATGGACTTATCAATGTTGTTACAGCCTGGTTTCTGTTTTTCAACTGGAAAGGTGATTTATTTATTTTTATTACGGTTAACTTGCAGGCATATACTGGAATTCACCGGCCGAAGAATTTAAATGAGGCTGACTTAGCCCGTAAAAGACTTATATTTGATGAATTCTTTTATCTCCAGGTGATTGTAATATTTCGTGTGTCACATTTTTATGTTCACCCTAATTATGAGATGGTAATGCTTTAAGCAATTGGTCATTGTTTTCATCTTTGAGCCTTTGGAATTATGTGGAAGATTACCACACCACTTACTACTTCAACTTACTCAACACAATTATAAATTGGGTTTAGAATACTTCACTCATTGGTTCTTTTTTGCCTGATTAACCCATCACCTTGAACTCAAACATCCTTACCAAATTTTCAAGTTCTTGTTTGTGCCTTTTCCATTGGTACAACAATAATTTTTTGATGTGAACACACTGTGCTTCCTGTCACTTGCTATATATGTTGGGCTCTTGGTTTGTTTTTTTCATATTATGAACATTGACCACAACATGTTCCAGAAATCTCTTGATGTTATCTGATGGACATGCACGAGGTATCACATAAAGGCACAAGGAACTGCTTGTTTATATACTGGAAGCAAATACACTCTTCCATAATTTTCTTTCCTTATTGAACTGATGATACCTGTCTTGTGCGGCACTGACAGTAGCTTTGAATTCGTTGATGTTGTTCTCTTTTTTGTTCTAGGTTACTATTGTTTCTTACCTTCCTTTATGTTTTCTTTTCACGTGGCATCCTTCTATTCCTGGCATTTCATTACTTTTATGAGTCTTTAATAGCTTTGCTTGTTCAAAAAAAAAAAAAAAAAAAAAGAAGGAAATGTTGTTTATGAATTCATGATTAGGCAGAGAGAATTTATCTCTCGGCCTACTGGGTAGCCAGGTGACCTTGATGGTCTGCACCATAATGGGTGTCACACGGGTCAAATTACACTCAAATTTTCGGCTTGTGATGGCACTAAGATCCAACCACCAGTCTCAGTCAAACACGCATGATACGCTTACCAAAAAAATATATCGAACAGGTAATAGGCAAGAATCAAACACACAGCAGACACACGAGATTACTGGCCAAAACGACCCAACTTTTTACTTCTCAACAAGTACAAAGGATTTTGGCTTAGGGTCTGCTTACAAAACGTGCACAATCGCTCTTTTGTTACTACAGACCCTAGCATGTGTGTATAAATCTATACATGACAGTTACAACCCAACCGCCTAGGCAATGTCGGCACCAACTAGCTCTAGCCAATTCAGTCATGCAGTTGACATCCCCCAACTGCTAGGATTGCAGGCACTAATCAGATTCATTCTCAAAGATATGGGTGGTTTTGCCACACTTCCACAATGTTGCTGAACCAATCAAAAGCATTTGGCATGGCTAGAGCAGTTACATCTTTGTAATTGCGAGTTAGCCAGCAACTACCCAGAACCACCCCACATGATCTGCACATGCCATCCTCGTCAGTCCACAACATCTAATTTTCCTTGCCCATGGGCCAAGCCATGGCCAGTCCATAGCTTGGTCTTTCAAGCTTGCAATACACCTCAATTAGAGCCCACATGACTATGTATTGATTGCTTGCTTGTGCTCAACGTGCCATGCATGTGCTGCCTCCCTCAGCCATGCATGGGGCTTCTAGATCCCATTAATCATAGATCACATAGGAAGCCATCTTTACAACATGGGAGTGCTTAGCCAAAGACCTCCCGACCTTGGCTAAGGCATGGGGCGCCATTGGGCGAGGCACCCGCATGCTATAGCCGTGCCAACGAGCTAAGGGGTTAATTGTGGGCCACTACCTTATTGAAGCAAAACTATGAGATTGTGGTACTAAAGTATTACTTGTCCTCGTAGAAAGAATAAAAGAATTGAATTATTAAAGAACAACACAAGCTGCAAGGATGGTGGTGAGTTCTCACAAAAGAGATCTGAAGCACTTCTCTCTCTCTCTATCTCTCTCACTTTGAAATAATTTTTACCTGTATATGAGATATATTTTGGTGCTATTGTACTGCATAGAGTCCCTAATGTTCATCCTACTACTAGTTGCTGGTGGAGGATTGGGTACTGGACATCTACAAACTGTTGGAAGATGTGATAGGCTAACATCATTATTCCATTAGGTTTTTTTAATAAGAACTATTATGATATTATTAATCATAAGAGCAAAAGATAGTACAAAATAGATAAGAGTCAAAGGTGGACAAGTGGTCCAAACCATAGACCAATCAAAGCAGAGAAAATGCATCAAAAAAAAGACGAAAGCTGCATTCCGCATGAAGCTGCCCAATTTGAGATTATGCAAAAAAAGAGGAACATTTTCAAACTCTTTAGCCACCAAAGCCCAAAATGAAGCCAAAAAATAAAGTCAATCCCATACTCCATCAACCTCCTCACTTTTATCATCAAAAATGGAATAACTTGACTGACTCATTATATTATATTTGACATGCTCCTTTTCTTTCTGGGTTGCTAAGCTTGGACACCCTATTGATCGTCATGAGATCACATTTGAATATACTTTATTGTAATCAGGCTGTTATTTCATAAAACTTTAATTCTAACTCACTGCTGCTTAATTTTTTTCCTGTAAATAACAATCATTCAGAAAACAAATGATTCTTGCTGGTTCAATTGGTTGAAACCCATTTTCCACAACAGGTCATCAGCCAATCTCTTCACATGACAAAGATTTGATGTTATGGTTAAACCACTAATGTTACCAGAGACTCAGAATGTGGGGAAAGATTTGCCTATGAGGAGACCTTTCTGTATGGTCAAGAAAAGGAAAAAAAAAAAGAAGCTGATGGTAGTCTGTACTGGGTTCCTTCTTTTTTTGCAGATATGCATGCTGTTTACGTTTAATCTTTTTGCCACAATTGTAAGAACACATGTATTCAAACATGCTAAGATTTTATTACTTAACTATTTCAGTTTCCCCTTTCCAACTTTATGAAGGGAGAGGCACTCTCATTCTGGTGCAGGACTTGAAGAGAAAATGTCCTAAAGAGGGAGGTTCTAGGTTTTCAATGTGATATATAAATTAAAAATACGAATTTTTTTTTCCCAACAGCTTTTTAACTACTTTTTTAGCTGTAATGCATTTAAAATGTTTATGTTAGTCTGTTATTATTGTGAGTTCTCTATTGTTCTAATTAATGCTGGTGCTGCTTGATGTGCTTTTCTTTACTTCTGTCTAAATACTTAATTACCCTTTTTGTCTGTTTTCATTTCAGTTGGGGCGTTTGTTCCAAATGCTTGAAGGTCTTGGTACAAAAATAGAAAAAGACGGATTGCTGAATAAGTACAGGAACCCTGAATTGGATGCAGTATTTATAGAAGAATGGTCTGGTCTCGCTAAAATTTTTTTGAAGGCTCTTCCATATTCCCTTACTCCTAGTCAGCTGACTGCTATTTCAGAAATCATCTGGGATCTAAAGCGACCTGTTCCAATGAATCGATTACTGCAGGTTTTGAATTTTTTTCATTGGAGTTGGTATGAAAAGGACTTTTTAAATGCCGAGTTGGTGACTGTTTTTTATTAGATTAGGATTTGGATGCTTATGTTTACTTTTACCACTCATCCTCTAGTTTTGGCAGCTCATCTCTTAATATTATCTCTAAAACCTATTGAAATGGATCTCAGCCACTGCGCTCTAAGCTCATGACAACCATGAAAGCTGAGTTTGAATTTGCAGGAGCATTATCGCTAGTTAGGCTTAACTATTTATACATAACTGAAATTCTCTAGGAGAGTAATGGTTTCCTGTGAGAGGTGACATTGTAGTTTGTAATGTGACACTAGAATGTTAAGACACCATTCAGGTCTTAGCTCGACTGTTTTGAGGTTTCTATCACTGGTCGACCAGCTTGATGAAGTAATGTTCTCGTTGGTAGAGGGACTTGGTGTGTGGTCAAGATAAAGCACATAGATTATGTTATCTTCCATGTCAAATATGGATCATTTACTTGGATTTGTGTATATTCCTTTTATCTTTCAATTTATATTTTCTACTTCTGAAATCTGGTAGCTATCAATCCTCATCTGGTCTGGTATGATGAGGGATAAGGTTTGTCTAACCTTCTGCTAGCCTTCGACCCAAGATTCTGAAATTACCTACTTCATTCACCTTGTTTGGTAAACCTTGATAAAATTGTCAATCAGTATTTAACAATTCTTATGTGTTAATGCATTGTGAGTGATATTGACAACTTGTTTTTTCTCAGGGTGATGTTGGATGTGGAAAAACGGTGGTAGCTTTTTTGGCTTGCATGGAGGTTATTGGCTCAGGCTATCAGGTCGGGTATTGTGTACTTCTGTGTAGTCATTTTATAAAGTTGTATTGCCTCAAAAATTATGAAGAAAATGAGTGCCTTTCTATTTGTTTCATAGCAGGTTTTTAATGTTTAGTACTTTGTCTTCTTAAAGCATGGATTAGAAATACATATTGATGTCGAATCACTCTATTTTATCTTTAGGCAGCTTTCATGGTTCCTACTGAGTTGCTTGCGGTCCAGCATTATGAGCACCTGCATAATTTGCTAGAGAATATGGAGGAGGTCCACTGCAAACCTTCTGTTGCTCTGCTAACAGGCTCAACCCCATCAAAACAGGCACGGCTAATTCGTCAGGTATTTGCTATAATGCATCCTTTTTTGCTTGTTACTTTTTTAAAGCTTCTTATGTTTTCTTTAATTGATCGGCAGGGCCTGCAAACTGGAGACATTTCATTGGTCATTGGGACTCACAGTTTAATAGCTGACAGTGTGGAGTATTCTGCTTTACGCATTGCTGTGGTGGACGAGCAGCATCGCTTTGGTGTGATCCAGAGAGGAAGGTTTAACAGCAAGGTTGTTTCGCGTTCACTGGCTGGAGATGATCATTTAATGCCCCACATTTCTTCTGGGTTACGAAACTCTTTTATTTCCTCCTTTTTTAAAGTAGTAATTCATTTCTTCTAATTTGTTTACAGTAACTTGTTTTTACCCATTTCTCGTTTCTTAAAGCACAAGAGATTAATTTGGTATCGTCACCAGTCTCAGATGCTAATCTGATTTCTTAGCCAAAGTACCTTCACAGCCTCTCAAAATAATTTCTATCTTTGATAAGTCATTGATCAGGAAATCCAGGTGCATCTATTTTCTTGACCATGAATCTCTCTAAATTGTTCTAGAGTAGAACCTGTTTTCCGTCCCTGCTCACCCCTTCTCCTCGAGAAGCAAAATTACAGATTCTTACTTTATGGAATTCATGAAATTTTAGCAGCAAGTGATACTGTCTTCCTTCAGACTTCTTATTTGACTAATGCAGTAATTCTATATTTTAACCAGTTGATTGATGCTCATATTCCTTGCAGTTATACTACAACTCCATAAGTTCCAAAATGGCCTCAACTTACTCAGATGACTCCTCAAAAGGTGACGTGTATATGGCTCCTCATGTTCTTGCTATGTCAGCCACTCCAATCCCAAGGACACTTGCTCTGGCTTTGTACGGTGACATGTCCCTGACTCAGGTATGCAATTTTTTTCTGTCTGGATTTACGTTTGTTAGTGTGCTATTTTCCCTTTTATGTCTGAGTAGCTATTCGTTAAGTAAAAGCTAAAAAGTACTGATACGGCACAACATGAACACGTAGACACAACATTCTTAAAAAAGTAGGTGAAGGACATGTAGCGGACAAGCTACAAATAATTATGTTTTACATATTAAATTATATAATTTATATGAAAGATAAATGAGGATAATACTAGAAATTCAATACTTCATGTAAGCAAATCTTCTGTCCAGTCCAGTCATCATTTGTTAATAATTTTTTGACTGAAGTATCATAATAGTCAATAATAATTTTTTTATAGACAATGTGTAGCTAAGTTACATAATTACAATGATAACTCTAGTCTTCATTTTTAGCAGAACTTTTATTCTTATTTTGCTTTTATTAGTAAGTTTTAAGTACAACTTTAACACATTAGTTTTAACTTATCTCGGACACATCACCAAAGGAGTGGCGAACGTATGTCCAAAATTACAATTTTATCTTTGAATTAAGGATACAAAATTTGTCCGAGAGTATGTAGGTGTCTCTCCAATATAGATGTATCACCTTCTTAAGAGTGTCCATGTTTCTTAGAGTAAAAGTATTTCAAAATTTGAACAAATTTCTTAAAATTATTTCAAATATGAAATAGGCATTGAACCAAGGAAAGAGAGGAGTCCCATGCTTGCAATATTCTCATGGACCAGGTTGCATATAACTAAGGGTGTTATGTGCATGTAGAGCAAATACTTTTTAGAAGTTGAGAGTTCCTGTGTTGAGAGGGAAAAGCTTAGCCGATTTCCAGTTTTTGTTTCTTACCTTTGTTCCAAAATTGTTTCGACTTCCTCTGAGTGACTCCTTGGTTTTCAGTGTAACTTTTTCTCAGAGGAAAATAATAAAAAAAAAAGAATGTAAAAAGTCTTGAGAGTATGTTGCCTAAAATTAATGGGGTTATCAGTACATAGAGCAAGTCATGTTTAGCAATTATGAATTATGACTTCTCGCCAGCTTGGGTTTGTGGACTGAAAGTCTTTTCGATTTTAGTTGAACTGAGTTGCTACCTAAAGTGTCATGTTATTACCATAAGTTCTTGTACGGCGTGACTTGGCTTAAGTCCTTCTTGCTCACTGACAGATTTTCTTTGGTTTCTTAAAATGACAGATAACTGATTTACCTCCTGGAAGAATACCAATTGAAACATACTTAATTGAAGGAAATGAAAGTGGATTTGAGAAGGTCTACCAGGTGAGTGTCTTCTTTTATTGATCTAAAGTTTGTTGTAACATCTTTTGTTACCTTTGTGAGAGAAAATATTCATGTTCAGCATATCTGTTCGATGTTTGAAAGTCCAGGCTGTGAATCTACATTCTTCTCAAATTTGTTATAATATAGTGATTATAAGGATTAAGATGGAGAAAAAAACCCCAATATTGTAGGATATCATGAGTGTGCCCCTACCATTTTAGGTAGAGGGACAAAGTATTTACAAAATACAATTTTCCAAATTGTTCCAATCCCAAAGTGATGCATGTTGGTAGTAAGGGCCATTGCTTGTTTCAATGGTAAAACGTTCGTGCTGTCAAGTGTGACTATTGGTTTTGACTTTTGAGTCACTTTCGGCAAATGTGTTTCTAGTCTGGTCGCCCCAACACGCTTCATAAGTGGGACCACACTAGGTGATGGCCTGACGTGTTTCAAGTCTGGCCGCCCTACTTAAGCAGGACCACACTAGATGATGGCCTTCCTTTCATTTGGTTGTGGGTACAATTGCTAGATTGAAATGCTTCAAAACCATGTCTCACAAATCCTTGTTGATAAGATATAATTTATATAAAGATTACTTCTATAAAATCTTAAGGATTTTGCGTATTAAGTTGAATCATCAATGTGTTTTTCCAAGAGGCCTGTTGCTATATCTGCAAATCACTTTGATAAGATTGATTCCCCGTTGGAAATGGTTTAGATGAGTCTCAAGGTTCAATTGCCACCTTAATGGCTTCCAATGTCAATAGTGCACCAACAGACACTACTGGAATAGTTGTGGCACCTAATTTACAGCTTAGAAATGATTTGAATTGCTCTAAATTGCTAAATCATGTGTTTTGGGAGACTGCTTTAGACCTTGATACTCTATGTTTGCATGTAAAATTTTGAAAGAAGGGGATAGTAAAACTTAAATCCACTTGATGTAAAATGTGAATAATTGGAAGGCATGAGCCCCTAGAACTTTCTCTTCCGGTAGCTTTCGTGGAACACGCGAGACATCTGCAAATTTTTGTTCCAAATTGTCTTTGAACTACTTGTCGAAGGACAAACAATGAGAGTCAATTGACAGCAAAAACAATTTCATGTCATAAATATAATCATTAAGCAGAGAGAGGGGAGCTTACATATTTAGGATTTGAGATTTGTGAGTTCGAAAAGTAATTATGATCAGTTCATGAGATTTGAGACTTTAGAGAATATAAAGCGTAGTTATAATGGGAGTGAGAGAGAGGGTTGAACAAAGTAGGTTAGTGGGTTTTGGCAGTTAAACTTAACCCCATAAACTGTAAACTATTACTAATTATGCATTAATTAAGGGAGAAGACACCAGACCCCATCCTCTCCCTTCATTAATAATACAGATATTTGCTCAGGAATTCAAGGGTTTGGAGGTAACAACAGCAGGGATTACTCTTTGAACTTGTGCTAACTTCGCCACAATTCGTGTAATTTGGATGGAAGGGAATGATACAGTATTTGAAGATCGATGTGAGTGGGTGGAAGGTTTATGGGATCGGATCTAGTTTTTGGCATCCTTGTGGGCAAGGATTTTGAGAGAGTTGCGCTTTTTCATATTTTTGGCCAGATGGTGAGCTTTATGGGATGCATAGTTACTATGGATTGCTTTTTGTTGATCTTCCTTTGGATGGACATCTTGTCCATTTTATGTTATCGCATCATGTACTACCTTCAAATTTATAAAATCGTGTGTCCTGTCAATAAATAAATAAAACCAATCAAAGTAAAATGTGAATAATGTGCACCATAATTGAATTTGATTCCTGGCATGGATGCATTCTGTGGTACCGAAGGATAATGTGATAGGGTCTCACCTGCTTAAAATCTTGGCACAAGTTCCTTCGTAGATTTGTTTGTACTCTTGTTTTTTTGTTTGGAGTGGGGATCTAAGGTAAATCTGAGGCACATGTTTATGGGAGAACAATGGAGAAACGTCTAGGGTTTTCAAGTCTAAAAAACCCCTCTTACATGAAAGTCACAGTTTCCTTGAGTGTCACTGAATCCTGAGCTGTCATATCTTGGAAAAAAAAAATTATTTAGTTTTTTGGCATATATCACAATTATGGGCATTCTAATTGGGTGAGAGGAAAGCGACATGGCCTCATTTTAAAATGCTTGACAAGCTAATCTTTGAAAGTTAGCCAGGTATGAAGTACTATAGATTGTTGAGCCATTCTTGAATATAAGACTATTCTTGTGTTAGTACACTTATTCTGTTGTTATCTTGTGGGCATGGAGAACTTTTCAATGATCACATTTAGTGTAATAAATTATATCTTTAGTTGTGATAGCCAGAATGAATCCAACTTTTGTTATCATTACTGATCTGAAGCACTTAAATATGACAGATGATGCTGGATGAATTAGAAGCAGGAGGCAAAGTATATCTTGTTTATCCAATCATTGAGCAATCTGAGCAACTGCCTCAGCTTCGTGCTGCTTCAGCTGATCTTGAAAGTATATCTAGTAGGTTTGAAGGTTACAGTTGTGGGCTGTTACATGGAAAAATGAAGAGTGATGAGAAAGATGAAGCATTGAGGCAGTTTAGATCTGGAGAGACACATATACTGCTTTCTACTCAAGTAATAGAGGTTGGGGTTGATGTTCCAGATGCATCTATGATGGTTGTTATGAATTCTGAGAGATTTGGAATAGCGCAACTACACCAGCTCAGAGGACGAGTTGGACGTGGGGTAAGGAAATCAAAATGCATATTATTAGCATCTACAACTAGTAGCCTAAACCGTTTAAAGGTGTTGGAGAAATCCTCAGATGGTTTCTACCTAGCAAACATGGACCTCCTTCTACGTGGGCCTGGTGACTTGCTTGGTAAGAAACAGTCCGGACACCTTCCGGAGTTCCCTGTTGCTAGACTAGAGATAGATGGAAATATTTTACAAGAAGCACATCTTTCTGCTCTGGTAAGTATTGTCTCCTGAAACTACCTTATCTGCTTAGTGATGGATTGTTAATTCCACTGTGAAAATCTTGTTTAACTTTAGGTAGAATTTATGTACACTTCTGTTAAGGTGGAAACACTTGTAACACAACAAATCCTCACCAGGAAAAAGAAACTACATGTATCTTATTTTCCTTTTTACCTATTCCGTATGTCCAAACACGGCCTTGAAGAGTCTAGGACCATTCTTTTATGTCGTGTTCATGTCTAGGACCATTCTTTTATGTCATATGCAACACAATCTTTTTGCCTCTTATGGACAAAGGAAACCTTAGATATAGACATTTTAGCATCATTTTGTTAGTATGCAGATATTTCTGTAGTGGGTTCTCTGACAGAAAGACCAGGGCATGACGTCAGCATTGATGTGAGTTGTTAAGTTGTTAGTAGGAGCCTAATGCCTTTCGCATTTTTGGGATCTAATCTGGATTAGTTGATTTACACTGTAAGTGGAAGTGTGGAACATATAGATATCACTTTCATAAGACAGTTCTGGCGATTTGGAACCCTATACAAAGGGCGTTTCCTTTCAAATGACAACTGCCTATTCCTGCTGCGAGGGCGTTGCACGAAACCAAACCACCCCCCGCCCGATCAAGTACCAGTTGCTTCGCTGGTAGGCCCACTTAGATTAGGGGGGCATTGTCCCTCAGTTTTTACCAACCTCCGGTGTGTAATCGACATGTTGCTAGCTTCAACAGATTGGATTGCCTGCGAATAAGAATCGTTGATTCCCTCTGCTGTCAATTTCTTATTCATTCAGGGCGCTCGGCCGGTGCTCCTTTCTCAACCCAGAACAACTCTGACGTCAAGCAAAATTTGCTTAACCAGTATTGGAGTTTTTTGAGACTACATAGAGTTCTCTGAAGTCAATAAAGCTTGTTTGTGAATATCTACATCCTGTGTCCTCATAGTTTTTCTAGGTTAAGGCTGGCCTGCTAAATCCTTTGATTGGTGGGTGACAGCAGTTTGTGGAAGGACATGTGTTGTGGCGGTTGTGGATTTGCTATGGGTATTTTGGGTTCTGTTTTCATGCTTTGTTTCCATTTGTATTTGATTATAATATATTAAGTCCAAAGATTTGATTTTGTTTCTACATTAGATCTGTGTTCGTTGTTGAGTTTGTTGTGAGAGTTGAATTGGTATTCTTTTAACAGTGTACATTCCCTTTTCCATCTTGTATCTGCAAGTATCCAAAATGTATATGAGAATGAAAATATATCCAATTAATTATTCGATACCTAGGTCCCATATTGTAGTGTATTGATATCCAATATGAATTGGATACAAGTGCTTCAACCTAATTGGAGTATCCAAGCTTCCTAGATAGGGCTTTTCAATACCTATGGAAACAATCTTACACATGCGTTTTTGTTTTCGGGTTAGAATTTAAGGCAGCAGTTTCCATTCCTTAAGAAGGGTGTTTTTGTTTACAAAGCCAAACGTCAAATATCTGTTGTGTTATGAGGAAATGTACTTCTTGTTTTTTGGTAGTACAGAAATATATTCTACTTTTTAAATTATGTGGTATATGTGACGCTCTGGTTAATGCTAATGGTGTAGAAAGTGTTGGGGGATTCTCAAGACTTGGAGAAATTCCCAGACCTCAAAGCCGAGCTTAGCATGCGACAGCCACTTTGTCTTCTTGGTGATTAAGCTCTAGTCAGTACTTCCAAACATACCCTTCTCCTTGTTTCAAGATGTATTTGGTTGATCTGGGGATTGTTAAAGCTTTGAAACTCCCAGTGGCCATACAACTTGCCAGTGGTTCCCGATCTTGTGGATGGTGGGTAGATGGGCTCGGACTGCCCTGTGCAGCTTCAGTTTCTGCAATGCTTCCATGAAATTAATAGAGGTACTTTCAACATCAACGCTCTTGTATTTGTCTTGTCATAGATATATGAGCTGAAAGTTTATGTAAATTGTCACCCATGTAAGATCAGATGGATTCTTAATTTTATAAATGAAATTTGTATATTACGACTAAAGGCAGATCTCTTTAGTTCATTGAATTGCATCAAGACGTGACGTATTGGAATATAACTTATGGTACATATTGATTAATTTCTGTTTTGGAATACAGTGTTGTAGGGTAAAATTGGGAAAAGTACTGGCAGCATGTGCTAATACTTCCCTTATGCTAGATTTGCTCCATAATTTTATTTACACTAGCCTAATGAACATATGGTAAAAGCATGGATAAAGCAAAAAATAGCCAATTCTGTCTGGAAAAAATTGTGAAGAAAGAAAGATAGGTGCATGGATTGGTAATTGATTAAAATAATTTTGTTATCCTTCAAGCTTTAGATGAATAATATTTGGGGAGTAATGTAGGAATTATTGAAATTTGCTGGTTTTATCTAGTTTTGTTTGCTTATGGGGGGAAAAACTCAGCTTGAACTCCACGAAGTTCAGAAACACATAAAAACATTGTTTTTGTCACTCGGACTATCATTTTATTGTGACAAGATCTGCTGTTTGAACTGTTACTTAATCACGACCAAAAAGGAACCCTAGTAACGGTTTAGCTCAATGGCTTGTGTTTCACTTCCATAGATAGGGTCACATGATCAAATCTCTGGGATTCGTTTTTGTGGGTCTAGACGGTGTGTTCTAAGAGATTTAAATTTAAAGTCACAATAGAGTACATTTATCGTTGTTTTAATGTCAGCCTCGTAATTCACTCTATGTTTTGGACCATCAAAAGCTGATGTGAAACTGATAAAACGATAACATCTCCAATGGTACCTTACACGCCACCTTCAAAACCTGCTCCCACGGCTACTTAATGTTCTTCAAATTCTAAGTCAACCGTATTTTGTCAAATAGAAAGACTCTTCTTTATGGATATTTGATGGAGAACTAATGTGATATAATAACGGTGTGGCATGTTGGGAGAGGCCCAATGCTCCTTGTCCCTATTCTTTCATCTTCCTTTCCTCTTATTTTCATTTCTACGCGAAAATTGACTTTTGGCGGAGCGGTGGAGCCTTAGGCATGTCAATGGATTATGTTTTCATTCGAACTTGAATTCAGTTACTTGGATATAGACTAATATTTTTTAATTAATGATTCGATCCCATGTACATAACTATGATAATATTAAACAAATATCTGATAAATTTGAGATAAAATTATTATGTAATTTATCAAGTTTAATGTTTAATACAGTTATCCAAATCAAATAGGATTTTTTTTTTTGAATTTTTAATGAATTTGGATAAGAACTATGAGAATGAAACTCATTATATAATCGGATCGTAAATAAATTAAATTTGCAAAATCAAATTTGAATAATCAAAATCTAAATCCTTTTCACAGGCTTGATTGAGCTTATTTTTTGTTACAAGATGTTCAGATTTGCGTCGACTACTCTCTTGAGTTCTGAGTCAACTATCGTAATTCGAGCAAAAGACACATCTTTTTAGAACAAGAGTGATAATGTGAAAAGTATTAAATTTGAGATCTCTTATTTATAAGAGATGCTTGATCACTGGATCACCCAAGGGCTCAGATGAGCTGTGAATCAGATAAGTCTCAGCCAATGAAAGAACAGGCAATTACCTTCCACCTCAATCTCAGAGCTGTACAGAACTCGAAGAACAGAAGTCCCTTTGGGAATGGGTAACAAAGGATGTCCACACACGGCTGTTTCCTACTTTCTATTCCCTTTCCACCTCATGAAAACGAAAAACCAAGTACCATCCTCTGACAATATTCCAAAAACTCTAAACAGTATAACAAAAAGGGAACAAAACTTTGTGGCCTTTTTATAATTTACTTTTTCTAAGGGTCCTTTGTTTTGTAGCAAAATTATGATAGTAACTGGACTGGAGCGCCGCTGAGCGCGGTGGCGGACAAAAAACGAACGCACCCGCCCCTATAAAATCCAATTGGCAGCAATCATGGTGATGGGCGCGCCACAGATGCGACACCCAGACAGCCCCCTAGCTACCGGCGCCTTTCATGGCCCATAAAACGTGGAACGAGGCTCCCTCCATACCACCACCCTATCCAAAACACCCACAAGCACATTTTCTGAATTAATTGATTTTTTTAGGGTAAAATATGTTTTTAATCATTAAAGTATATGTTTAATGTCTGTTTGATTCTCAATCTTTTAATTGTGTTTATTTAATTTTTAAGTTTCTTAATTTGTATTTATATGGTACAATCTCAAACGTCTGTTAAAAAATTGTTAACGGTTCTGATCACGTGTCATTTACGTAAAACCAAATAGATATAAATTATGAATTTTAGGGACTAAATAGATAAAATTAGAAACCACATGATTGGTGTGTGACTAGAACCGTCACGATTTTTTGACGGACGTTTGAGATTGAACCACATAGATACAAATTAGGAACCTTATAGACCAAATAAATACAATTAAAAACCAAATAAACACTAAATACATACCGTAGAAATTAAAAATATATTTTATTCATTTTTTTATGTTGCAAACATTTGGATGGGCCTACTAATTTTGAACAAAACTTTAAACTGCGGTGAATGAGGTACTTTAGTAGGCAACCAACCACTAGTTGAGTGGTTAAAATTGGGTTATATAATACTAATAATTATAAAATTAGAATTTGAGAACACTCTTTTTACATGTATAATAACAAAGTGTATGCTTGTTGTCAATGTATTTTTTACAGTCTCCACTAATCTATTAATGGCGCATGTTTGTGTTTGAATTATATCGTGTCAAAATTTGTTTAACTTATAGTTTACATATTTATAATTATTTGCATATTTTATTATGTTTGCATCGATTCATTCATCTGATGAATCTAATTGATTCATCCTATTAACATTTTTTTAATGGAAAATTTTCAAGTAAGTTCTACCTATTGTCTTAAAAAAGTCATAAATACATTATATTCATTCTTTAGTCTTTGCTATTAAATTATCAAATTGTCATTTAAATTTGGGTTATCATTTGTTGTACAGTTAGCATGTCAACTAATCAAATTAATCTGTTTCGATTTAAAAACTCGGGTAGAAACCCGAAACCTTTATTTTTAAGATATTCTCGTGTTTTTTTCACTTGTATCATTACCAAAGCAAAGCCTCCCGTTATGGAGTATATTTTGGGACTCCGATGAAGGTCTCAAGTTAGTATTCAATAAGTCAATATTGAATTTAAAGCCAGTTGTTTTGATAAATTTTTTGAATATCTTATTTTGTATAGCTTTTATCTGTCTTGTTTGTTTAAAAGAAAATGAATATATAAACAAAGGCCAATTTGGGTACTGCAATTTAATATTTCAAATTTGGTCAGTGTTAGGTGCCTATCACTTCTTTTTTTCTTCTTTAAGAAGGCGGCATATGTCATTTACTATCCTTTTCCTGCATCTCTTGCACTGATATCCCAACCAATAAATAATTAATATATGATTTCATGCATACAATTAATTGTGTGATTTTATATTATATGTATATATTTATATATATAATTTTATTGAATTATACTTGGATCAGATATTAATGTATCTAAATCTAAAACACTGAAATAAGGTATAACAAATTTAAATTTAATATTGAAACTAAATAATTGATCAAACATACTAATCTATATTGACCAATTAAATTCAAATTCAAAGCTGGTTTGAATCAAGATTGGTTATCTAAATGAATGCAATTAGAAATTTAGTTATTATTTTTAATTAAATTAAATTGGTTACTAAAATAGAAGGTAAATATTCTATTATATGGTACCAATTGAAGGATAAAATCGGAAAAAAAAAATAGTATAATTTTTGGTCCCTAAATTATATGTTTTGTGTCAATTTGGTGCTTAATTTTTTAATTATGTTAGTTTGGTCCCTCAATTTTTTTAATCTGCGTCACTTTAGTCCAATAAAAAATAGTTATTGGAATTGCCTAACAGATATCATCATGCACATCTCACGTGATCACACCTGAAACACATTCTTTTGAAAATTTTAGACACTAAAATTATACAAATTGTAAACTTGAAGACCAAAATAAAATAAATTATAAATTTAAAAGAGCAAAGTGACAACTAAGTTTGGTAACGTGGAGATCTATGTTAGTCAATTTTAAATTAATTTTATATATTTCACTAGTTTTAAATTAATTTTGGATTAATTATAAAATACTCCCTTCAACTTTGGGTAGTTTGCAACTCACTTTTAAATATTTTGTAATTAACTCTAATAGTTATTTTTAGGCAATAAAAATTGACAAAAGATAGACATGTCAAATTCACGTGATTCCTACTTGTTAAAAAAAGATAATTATTTTTACACTTATTTTTTTGTTGTACCAAATATTCCTCGGATGATTAACTCTCATTTCCTTCCCCTTTCTAGTAGAAACCCTCCCTTCTCTATTAGTGAGCCAAACCCAAGGGCCTAACTCCAAGAAGTCCAACTAGCCAAGCTCAAAGGAGCTTGCACCCGGTCAAGTTCATCAGGTTCCACGAGTTACATCAGTAAAGGAGCATGCAAGGTCATCCGCAGGCACCCAGGTTTCCTCCGCAGACGCCCAGGTCTCCACCTCAGGCACCCTGCATTCCTCCTCTACCACCTTGGAGCATGCAAAGGTCATCCAAGAGACTTATCCTTTTCCCCTTTGAAGGAGTTAACACCCACGTCATTATTTGACAGAATCTCATGGAGAGCACCGCAATTGTCTAGCCCATTGAGGAGAAGTCATGAGCTCCATCAAAATAGTTATTTAATTGCTAATACCTCGCCCAAATCTGTTAGAAGGGCAACTATAAATTGTAAGCCCCACTAACACTTGGGGGGACAGGATCACACTCTTACCTGAGCACGACTCTCCTCTCCCTCTCAAAGCTTATACTCTCTGCTTCCTTTACCCTTGAGTTAATAAAAGTACCCGGCGACCAAAGTCATTCAAGAGTGGACGTAAGTCACTTTGATCGAACCAATATAAATCTTGTCTCATCCATCTCTCTTTACTTTAAATTACTGCATTTATTTTCAATCATTTGACAAAGTGGTGTACAAAGTCATTTTGTGCATCATCAGTTTGGCTCCATCTGTGGGAACGACTAAATTCTCACTTTTAAACACTTTCTCTATTGAACCTATGACGATCATCACTAGATCCATGAATCAACCTGAGGATAATCCACAACGAGAGGAGGAGGTTACTCCTCCACCTACCAACCCTGTCTCAAATGCTCCAGTTCTAAATCCTCAACAAATGTTGGAGACCATGCAGCAACTAGTAGCCCAAAACCAACAGATCCTGCAACTCATGCTCACCGGACAAGGAGGAGCACAACTTGGAGGACCTTAAGGAGCTCCACGTCCTGTACATTAAGGAGCTCCACACCCTAGACATCAAGGAGTTCCACGCCTTGGACCTCAAGGAGGTCCACACCCTAGTCATCAAGGAGCTCTACGCCCTGGACATCAAGGAGCTCCATGCCTTGGACATCAAGGAGCTCCACAACTTGCTGCTCCCTATTTGGGAGCCCATGCAGGTTTGGGCGCCCTTTTTGGAGTTCCTTTGGGCGCCCCACACAGGGGAACCCATCATGAGATACCTCAACCTCCTCCTCTAGTTCCTCTTACTTTCCATGGTGAAGGCCCTCGTATGCGAGAAGATGATGAAGAAAATCAAAGCATGAAGCATGAGAATCATTTTTAAGATCATTCCAGAAGAACTCTTAATCATTGGGACGAGAAAATTAAGGAAGTGCAAATCAACTGGGTGACGTCTTCAACGTCATGAAGGCACAGGAACCTGAGACAGTGGACTACCTTGTAAGGCAGACATACACGTCTTTCAAAACTGACGTGGTGAACTACCCCCTCCCTTAAAAGTTCAAAATGCCATCCGTGGAGACCTTTAACGGAATGAATGATCCACTTGATCACTTTGAAACCTACAAGACCCTAATGCAACTGCACAACGTCCCCGATAAAATTATGTGTAGGGCATTTCCAACTACTTTGAAGGGATCAGCGCGACAATAATTTGCCAAACTCACCCCGGCCTCCATAGGCTCTTTCGTCAAACTGAGCAGATCATTTGTGTAGTTCATTGGTAGACGCCGTCAACAAAAGCCTGTCACCCATTTGCTCAACATAAAACATGATCGAGATGAGAGTTTGAAGAGTTACTTCACTCGTTTTAACGAAAAAGTTCTTCAAATCGAGGAGCCTAATGACAAAGTCACCATGACCGCCTTTCTGGGAGGTCTCTACTCATCCAGATTCTTTTTTTTAGTAATGAAGCGACCACCAAAGAACGTGCCAGAACTATTGAAAAATGCTCAAAAATATATGAATGCTGAGAAAATCAACAGGTCTAGGCGAGGTGAATCATCTCGCAGATCACCAGAAGCTTGACCTATCTCTGTACTATTCTCAAACAGGTAGCTTATCTCCAGCTTAGTGGCTCTCTCACGGGTTGCCAAAAAAGCTTGGTCTCTGCACTGTTCTCAACACAGGCAGCCTATCTTCAGCTTAGCATCTTTCTTGCGGGTCGTCAAAAAAGTTTGGCCTCTGTACTGTTCTCAAATAGGTAGCTTATACCTCAAGCTTAAAGACTCTCTCATGGGTCGTTAAAAGTTAGGTTTCAAAAGGTGTAGCTTTCTCACGAGCAGTTCTCCAACTCTGTCTTTGCTTTCGCGCAAACAACCTACCTATCTCTTCAAGTAATTATGTGAGATATTTTAATGTTTGAAATAACATTTTTTCTGTCATCACAAGCAGGCTTTCCCAAGGCAGCCCCAGGCTGGCCCAAGGCATCCCCCCAAAGCGCCCAAGACAGCCCCAGGCTCACCCAAGGCGCCCAAAAAAGGTAGCCCAACACCTGGAGAGGTGTCTGACACTCTATGCTCGCCTAAAGGAGGAAGCCTAACACGTAAAGAGGTATTTGACGCTTTATGCTCACCCTAACGAAGCAGCCCAACACCTGGAGAGGTGCCTGATCCTATGTGCTTGCTCAAACGAGGTAGCCCAGCACCTGGAGAGATGCCCTTACACTCTATGCTAGCCCAAATGGGGTGGCCCAACACCTGGAGAGACTTTCGGCCTCCTCTGCTCCCCCAAATAGGGTAGCCCCGCACTTGGAGAAGCGTCTGGGGCCTGTTCGCCCAACCCTTGCATGCCTATGCTAGCGCCCACCATGCCACCTATTTTAATGGAGCTCGCCGAAGGCAGCCCAGGCTCGTCCAAGGCGCCCAAGACATCCCTAGGTTCGCCCATGACACTTCCAGCTTGCCCAGAGGTTGCCTGCTCACCCAAATCGCGTGCCCAACTATCTGTTCAAAATTTTGACCGTAATTTTTACTCCGTTTACTTCAAACAGGGGCTTATTACATATCAAATCGAAGCTCTCGGTGAGCCCTACAAGACTCAGAAACAACTATTTTGGCCTTCCAAAGCTTTTTTTTTTTAAAAAAAAATCAGCTTGCCCAGGACACCTCCTGCTCGCCCAAACCGCTCACCTATAACGTAACTTTTACTCCGTTATTCTAAATGAGGCTTATAATATATCAAATCGAAGCTCTCGGTGAGCCCTACAAGACTCACAGCCTTTGCCTATGGTTGATGCTATAAAAAGGTTCAAAAAAGGCTTGGAAGTAGATGTTTTGGTCTCCTGAAGTTTTTTCAGTTGTGCCGGTGAGCCAAAAATTTGAACTTAATCGAATACCCTCATTTCCAAGTTCCATTGGACACAGGGCATTGGGGGGCAAATGATGAGCCAAACCCAAGGGCCTAACTCTAAGAAATCCAGCTAGGCAAGCCCAAAGGAGTTTGCAACCCGGTCAAGTTCATCAGGTTCCATGAGTTACATCAGTAGAGGAGCATGCAAGGCCATCCGTAGGTGCCCAAATTTCCTCCGCAGGTGCCCATGTCTCCTCTGCAAGCGCCCAACTCTCATAAGCAGACGCCCAGGTCTCCACCTTAGGCACCCAACCTTCCTTCTATACCACCTTGGAGCATGTAGGGTCATCCAAGAGCCTTGTTCTCTTCCCCTTTAAAGGAGTCAACACCCACGTCATTTTTTGACCGAATTTGATGGAGAACACTGCAACTGCCTAGCCCGTTGAGGAGAAGTCTTGAGCTCCGCCAGAATAGTTATGTAGTTGCTAATACCTCGCCCAAATCTGTTAGGAGGGCAACTATAAATTGTAAGCCCCACTAACACTTGGGGGGGTAAGATCACACTCCTACCTGAGCACGACTCTCCTCTTCCTCTCAAAGTTTGTACTCTCTGCTCCCTTTACCCTGGAGCTAATAAAAGTACCCGGCGACCAAAGTCATTCAAGAGTGGACGTGGGTCACGTTGATCGAACCACTATAAATCTTGTCTCATCCATCTCTCTTTACTTTAAATTACTACATTTATTTTCAATCACTTGACAAGTGGTGTGCAAAGTCATTTTGTGCATCATCATCTATGATGAAGCGGAGGTAAAAATTTCCTTATTTTTTAGAGACAATTTTGATATCTCAAAAAAAATATCAAAAAATAATATATAAGACTGAGGGTATAATGGTTCTTTCAAGTGTTCGGTCACTGTGAGTCAATTTAATTCACTTGAAAGTTGGAGGGGTTAAATTATAGTATTTAAAATCATAAGGAACTAATTGCAACAAGAGACATTGTTAGAGGAGTAAATTGTAATTAATCCAAAATTTTAATATTAAAACATTTATGTGGGATTAATTTTGAATTTCAAAAATTGTAGCTGGGCCCTGCTTATTTCCATTCTATGCTCCACTCTCTTGCGTCTCTGTACTAGACTGGCGTGGCCGCTGCTCCACCCATCTCACTCACTCACTCACCAATAACTACGCTCTCTCGCTCTATCTGACACTGACCACTATATTAACTCGAATTGAATGAAAATGCTCAGTGCCGACTGTTTTTGACCTTTCTGAGTTCGGACTCTTCCGCATTCTCAACTCCATCGGCATGTGTGTAAGAGACCCCAGCGACAATCACCATCTGTCTCCTCTCTCTCTCTATCTCCCTCTCCACACTTTCTACTCTCTCGCTCGCTCTCCTGTGGGGATTACAGTTTTTTGATAATGCTCCATACGATGTCTCCCAGATGAAGCTATTGAAGAATTAAGAATAACCCACTCTCCGGCAGAAGTTAGATCGCGCTTCCATTAATTCGGGTCTGTTCTCGTTATTTTTTTCGTCTTCTTTGCTGTTTACCGATGAACTACGGCAAAACCCATAAATGGTCCGACCTTCATGTCTGAAAATTGAATCCTGTGATTGTGATCGGACGTTAGTGTCTGAGCCGATGAGAAATCAGCTCTGGTTTTGTTACTCAAAGTTTTAATCTTCTTTTCACTAACTACCCCTTTTTTTTGGTATGATCAATCTTATAGCCATTTATGCACTCTCTCTCTCTCAGCAATTTTTGCATCGTTGTACTCTGTGTGTGTGTGTGTGCAAGTCCTTACGTTTTGATCCGGATCTCATACTTTTTATATTCTATTACACTTTGCTTTTTAGAAGTGAAAAAACTTAGTAAAACACAAAACCTTTGAGACTGTTGCTCAAAAAGTTGTTTGATTACGTTAAAGTGTTCTTGACCTCTTTCCATTTAGATTTACGACCAGGAATGATTGATGTCTTACCAAACTCTTACTCTACAACTGGTTTTCACCTGTGGAAACCAGCCATTAGATGAAACCGTTCAGATACTCCCACTAAATAAAAAACAAAGTTGGTGAGTTTTAGGTTTTTTGTAAAACTTGTTTTTAATTGATGATGGGATTTAACATCCACTTGCATGATGTTACCTTTAACTAATGAATCACTCTGTTTGTGGTTTTTGGTTTTAAAGGAAAAGGTGAAGATCTTGATGCATTTAAAAATTGTGAAAATGGGATTTTGTCATTGTAGGTGGGTGCACAACGTTTGGATTACACGAGATGATGATTGTGAGAAGGAGACTCGCTTGCTGTACCCGGGACAGGGGGATTAGTTTTGACTTCGATGAACAAGACAGTGAGCCTCTTCTCTCTCTCTCTCTCTGTCAATATTGTAATGCATCCATTCAAGTCTCCCGTGATTTATGCTCTATAGTCTGTGGTCTTTGCCTATAAAGCTTGTGGGGCTATAGATAAATAACCCTTTATGCTTGTCAGTTGTTTACCTAACACATGGGTTTAGCTAAAATAGTGTTGCAGAGAAAATAGATCTCAAAGGGCTTAAAAGTGTTTGTCTATTGAGGCAAATAGCTACAGTCCTGTCAATTATTTTAGCAGCGAGGATTTATTTTATGAGGGGGCTTCATACCATGTGACAAATAGAGGTGTTGAGCAAACCTATCAATACCTTGGACCACCATTAGTGTAGTATACATCAAGCGTACATCTTTTAATCAAGATAAACTTTTATGGCACCCTGATAACAGTGATTTTCCAAGTCTCCCAGTTGAGAAAGTCTATGATACCAAATTCGTACTGTACAAAAAAAAATTGGTTAAGTTATGACTCAATTTGTTCAAAGTTACAACTCAATGGAGTTCAAAAAAGTTGAGGTCAATCCAAATCAACCTCTTGAGTTGTAACTTCAACCGGTTGAATCATACAGTATCAAACTTATAAACTACTTTTCGCTCACAATTGCAAGCTATATATGTGAGCAGTCCATGATTTAAAATTTCTTATCGTCATTTTTAACCTTTATAGGATTGGAAGAATCTTGGTTTTTGAGTGCAATGTGCTATAGATCATAAATAAGTGAATTGATTGGGGCCCTCTAGGACAGAAACTGCAGAAATTGTGTGATCCTTATTTATTATTCTTGATAAATGGAAATGGTGGCCCTCAGTAGTACTATTATACTTGATGACTATTACCCCAACTTCATAACAGTGGAGTAACTACGTAGGGACACAAAAGTCAGTATCTGGGTGACAACTTTTCAAAAGTGGTTTTGTTTCTATTTGAATTAGCTCCTACTATGGAGATTCCCTCTACTCTATCTGTTTCTTATCGTTTTGTTCCTATGATATTTGAATTGTGGGCTTCTATACAAGTAGACATTCAAATATCAGTATATGCTCTTACCATTTCATTTTAAACCATACATCGATGGTCAATATTATGCATCACAACCTCTGGACCTGTGTGGAAAATCATATGGTTTGACTTATTAAGTTTGGTGTTCTTAATGAATCTTCGTAAAGCCAAAAAAAAATGTAAAATATGAACCTTCATAAATCCTTTGTGGGCATCAAGCAGTTGATGTTGAGACCTTACATGTGTGCCACAAGCCCATAATATGCACAAGGATTATTTTTTAGATTTGAAATCTACTATGAAATGGATTGTGGAATACAATCGAATTTGGTGCATACATCCTGCAGGCACGTTTTGACGTCCCTATAATTGAAAATGCATTAATCCTTTGCGGCACAATGTGTCTTTTGAAAGAAACCAGTTTTGTTCTTTACATCATAAAAATGGTAACTCTTGCTGCACAGAGGAACATTTTCAGAGCAGTGAGAAATATTATCATTTCTCAGTTGTAGTTATTTACTTTTAATTTTATTTCGGGGAATAAATTTATCCCCTCAGAAATTAATTTTTCGTAACCATCATAGGGTATTACTTCACTATTTAAAGGACTTTGAAGATGTGCCAGCAGAGATTCAAAATGTTAAATAGAATTAAAGCCAAGGGAAAGAATAAGTTAAATGCTTCTCCTATTGTTTTGTTTGTGAAAACCTTCATTGCAAGTAACCTTGCAAATTTGAAGTGATGATTGGGTAAGCACAAGTATGCTGATCATAGGTACTTGGCGTTCAAATTGGGTGTTAGACATCATACATGTCATTTTGGAATGTCACTTGTTAGTCACATCCACATCATCTATGTTTTTGTTCTACTCTGCTATGTCCCTTGCAACATAACATGTACAGACCCTCTTTGGCCCCTCACGAATTTTCTGATTAATGAAACTACTGCAGTTTCTTCATGTCCACTCTGATAAGATTCTGAGAAAATTCTACAGGAATAATGACGTATAATGGCCTGGAGAGTTGCATTCTCAACAGGCAGTCTTATGCAAATGAAAGCCACACAAGCAGAGGGGATGGATGTCCTACGGACTCCCTAGATGAAGATGATTCAAGCTGTTCTTCAAGCAATAATGCTTTCGGATCATCATTCTCTTCTCATTGGACCATGATGAAGAGGGATGATAAGGGACTGGATGAATGGGAGTTCTCAGAAAGCCCCAAACATTTTCATGTCAAAGAGAAATCTTCTTATTCGTTTGAGTTGTCAGATGTGACAACAATGAAAGAAAAATTTGCGAGGCTGTTGTTAGGTGACGATATAACAGGAGGATGCAAAGGCATCTCAACTGCACTCTCATTGTCCAATGCCATAACAAATCTTGCAGGTACAATGGTTTTTCGTTAATAACTTAACTATTGTTTATCAAGGGGTTAGTGTCAAGACCGTTAATAAACTAATGCCATTTATTCGGCATTTGAAGTGGAATTGAGCTTATTAAGATGGGGAACACTGAGAATATGCTTATACATGAAGATGCTCATTATTTGAGCCTTTTTTTTTTTCCATTCGTGCAAGTATCTATACCCAGGGCAAAACTGTTTTTCATGCTTTTACAGTTTTAATATCAAGTTCATCATCTTTTCCTTCCTACTCAAAAGGCTATTAATATATTTCCAGCGACGGTGTTTGGTGAGCTGTGGAAATTGGAGCCGTTGCCAGAGGAAAGGAAGAGCAAATGGAGAAGAGAAATGGACTGGTTGATCTCCCCTACAAACTATATGGTTGAGTTGGTTCCTGCTAAGCAAAACAGTGCCAATGGCCGGACCTTGGAGGTATTTCTCATTTCTGTTGATTCGGAGAACTTATTTTATATATTGGAGTTTAACTGTAGTTTTCTTTTGAGCAGATAATGACACCAAAAGCTCGTGCAGACATCCATATGAATCTTCCAGCGCTTCAGAAGTTAGACTCCATGCTTATTGTAGGTGTTCTCTTCACTCCTGCCAAATGGATCAGTTATCTATTCAGTTATGATCTAAGTTCACCTACTTGAACATCTCAAACTGACAGGAGACACTGGAGTCCATGGTTAACACCGAGTTTTGGTACGCGGAAGGAGGTAGCCGAGCGGAAGGAAGAAACATGAGTTGTAGGCAGAGCAAGAGGTGGTGGCTTCCTTCTCCATGTGTACCCACAGCCGGGCTCTCTGACGCTGAAAGGAAGAAACTGCTAAACCAGGCTAAACTGGTCCAACAAGTATTTAAAGCTGCCAAATCTATAAATGAAAATGTCCTGCTTGAAATGCCAATTCCGAACATCATTAGGGATGCACTTCCCAAGGTATGCAAGCTTTGAGTTTCAATAAGCTAGCCCTGTTTCCTTGCATATAGCTGAAAATTCTTTAGAACAAGGACTTTGTTTCCATTTTACGTTAATGAGTTATGAAGACATTTTTTATACTCAATTCTTACAGTCTGGAAAGGCAAGCCTTGGCGAACTACTTTACAAAATTTTGAGTGCAGAATCAACCTCAGCGGAGGAAATGGTTAATTCCCTCAATTTGAAATCTGAACACAGTGCACTCGAAGCTATAAACAGGTTGGAAGTGGCAGCATTTGCATGGAAAGAGAAAATTACAGAACAGAACAGTGGTAAATCTCCAGTTCGAACTTCATGGTCCTTCATAAAAGATTCAATCTCTGAGCTGGATAAGATGGAGTTCTTGTTGGATCGGGCTGAAGCTCTTCGACAACAGCTCAAAACCAGATACCCAAACCTTCCTCAGACATTTCTTGATGTTACAAAGATACAATATGGCAAGGTGAGACAGTTGCTGCAACTCTCATTAGAAATTGACCACAATCAATGTTTGGCAACCATTATAATTGTGACTTTCTGTTCGTTGTCCCAATCCTCTAAATTCTCATTACTTAGATTAGTTTAGTAGTAGGTGTATACTATATAAGCATAATATCTCAGTTATCATCAGGCAGAAAAGTAATCTTTGTTAGTTTCAATGATTATAAACTTTAGTCTCTTCAGATTGATCTAAAACAGGGCCCCACACTATGTATATGTTTGATGTGCAAAAGTAAGTTGCTTTCAACAGTATTCATCTTTATAATGGCCTTTATGGGATGACTTCAAACACCCTCGACAACATTACACAAAGGCTTTATAAGGTTAATATGTTGTTCCCTGAATCCAGTTAATCATTATCATTATATCAATAGAAAATGCTGAAAAGAAAAAAGTTTGCATTGATCTTAATGCTACTGAAGCATAGTAATTTAGAATGATCACTCAAGTCCCTATCAGTATTATTTTGGGAATGAACTGTATTTAATCCATACTACTGTCATAGTTCCATGCTGTTGAGTATCAGGAATTTTTTTTTTTTCCTCAACTGTTCTCACACAATTTCTCTATAGTTGGCAAAGACTGAAAACTAACCATGGTTACTCTCTCTCAACATATAGGATGTTGGACACTCAATACTGGAAGCATATTCTCGGGCTCTCGGAAATCTGGCATTCAGTATACTTTCTAGAATGGGAGATATACTGCAAGAAGATGTTTTGAGCAATCCCAGTTCCCCTGCTGCAGCGAGTTGCTTTCCTGGAGTAAATCTCACTCGAATCTCAGATACTCCGGTGGCCAGTCGTGTGAGGCACTCCCTTATCGATCAGATGAATACCATAAATGGAGAGCATTGTGACTCCAATTCAGCCAATGTTTCTGATTCAGAAAATCAACCCAAAACAAGTTCAGTGACTGCAACACCAAGTCGGAGTCGATTACGGCGCATCAGCAGAGAGGTTTGTATCAGTTTGTCTCCTAATAAATCCCCTTGACAAAGAAGAGTATAATTTTGGACAGTTGTCTCTGTAAATGAAATCACATTTATGCTGTAATGAGCATTTTTTTTGTGTGATTTGTCCCTACTCAAGGGTGATTTTGGCCCAAGCAATGTGTCGACTGTTTGACAAAAAAAAAATTTCACAACCACAATTAACAACAAAAAAAAGTCGTGCATTTAGTTTCCGTTCCCATCATCATATTGATAAACCCTCTTGTGCGAGCTGCCATAAGAACTTGGAGTCTGTATCATGTTGACAATGACATAACACTGATTCTTGCTCAAAAAAAAAATTGAACTTGTTCGAGTTTTTGGCCCGCAGCATTCATGAGTTGTTAGTTCAACTGTTCCTCGAAGACATAGTCGAGAAGTGCCATGCATGGTTGCCCCTGTTCTTTCTTTCTCTCGGTCCGACCCAGCAAGATAGCGATCACCCAAAATCCAATAAATAGCATCTTCGAAAAGCAAAAACTTGTAAAATAGATGAAATATCTCAATTATCAAATTACTACAATATTAGGATTCCAATCCTTTCTCCTTCTCATGCAAGAAACAGTGTAGAAACACAAATCTAGCAAAGAATATCAGATTTCAGGGTTCAATAAATCTATTGATTCCTAAAAATACCAGAAAATTTGGAAGAAAAAAAAAGAAAAGAAAATTCTCTAAAATGTATTCAATAATCAAAAGTTATAGAACAAGAAATCTTAAAACCAACTAGGAAATAATAAAACGTAATTATTTAATAAGGCCATTATTATATATTTTGCCAAAAAAAGAAAAGTTTCAAACTAATTATACAACTAAAAACTACTAATAATTCGGATCAAGTCAGAATTGACGACAATCAATTCTACCTTCAAAGTTCAGATATTGAAGTTAATCAGTTGCGACAAATTATAAAAAATGAAAAAAAATAATTTATCTCAAAATCTGCATTGGGTCATCACATCTCCTGTTAGGAGTGCGATGAGTTCATTTGGTTCTGTCTATTCTAATTAGATTTGAGTGTTTTGAGACTTATGTATGTAGAAGTGATTCCAAAAAAGTTAACCCATTTCACCGGCCCGAACCACCTTGATATCGATCCCACACTCAAAGACCAGAAGTGTAAGGTAGATTGGTGGATGGTAACCAAGAGTCACCGTCTAAAAAGTTTTCTACTGTAAATTTAGAGGCTTCAGATAAGCTTCTTATATCATGAAAACCACCCCATTGAACTCTCTTTGCTGTTGAAGAACCAGGACCTGAATTGTTACACTCTCCGTAGTACAGTTCATTAACATTAGTATTATCATCCCATTTAGACCACCCGGCCGGATCAATCAAGCTGCCAAGATAAGTTTTGAGAACAACAGTCCGAGAATAATTCCCCCAAGGCCTTCCAAGGTATGTTCTCACTGTAGTTAGCACTGGATTGAGCTCTTCACTGGCCAGTACTTCAGAGTTATGTATCACAATTCCAGTGTTTTGATGTGGGTCAGATCTATTTTGTGCTGTGATTGTGTTGGTGCTTCTCAGTGGCCTCCTGACATAGATACTGCAGTTTTGGAATATTACAACTGCATTTCCAAAGATAAAATCGACGGTTCCGGATATGTTACATTCTCTATAGAATTGTCTGCTGGAATGGACATATAATGTGTCTTGGTACCCTTCGAAGCTGCATTTGTAGAAGACAGAGAAATCAGATCCCGACCGCAGTGCCACGGCTTGGCCATTTGAGGGTCCTGCTGTGTTTCGGAATGTTATATCACGAGCAATGAATCCATCTCCGGTCACAGCTGTGGATCAAAGTAAGATTAGAGATTGCGTAGTATAAGCCTTTAGCTGTAACCAGTCTGAAAGATGAATATCAAAAAGGTTAGAACAACAAAAAGCATACATTGATCATAACCCATGATGTAAAAAAATTTCCTCACATGGGTATGTAAAAAGGGCGATGGTCAGATGTACAGATTCTTAGCCTCCATATATATGTGATAATTTTGCCGAAAACATATGGGTCAAAGTGAGGCTTTCAAATAAAATTCCAAACTAGTGGATATTGACAAAGGGAGTGGTGACGCCATACCCAAAAACGAAGAGATCCATAGAATCAGAGGAGGCAAACAGACTTTTTGAACATTTTCATTAATTCATGAATAGCATTTGTATAGACACATGGATCCATGGATCTATACTCTCAATCGGAGAAAGTAAAACCAATCAAACAGTTGCTTTTCCTTGAGCGGTGTCAATGTTATAATTTGGGTCTATGAATGCCAAAACCCACACTATATAGAACAAAGAATCAGGAGAAAACTGGTCACTTTTCATCTCTTCTATTGAATATGTAAATGTAACGTGTGAACTAAAACAATGATGTCTTCAATGCAAGATTCAAAGTATCGGCGAGTTGTAGGAGAAAAACTAGTTACTTTCATATCTTCTTTTGAAAATTTACTTGTAACATGTGAACTAAAGCTATGATTTCTTCAAGTTCAATACTATAGGGGAACTAGGATAAAACAAAAGATTGTAAACCTTACCAAAGGTGGCTGTCCTGAAAGTGGTAGTGTTTCCTCCGGCATGCTTATTTCCAGTTACAATTGTCTTCCCTATGCCATCACCAACCATCGTTATATTTTTCACATTGCCATCTATTTGAACATACTCATTATAATTACCTTCCTTCACATAAATCAGAAACCTTCCCATCCATTCTCTCTTCGATGCAGCCTCAATAGCTTCATTAATGGTTCCAAAATCACCCGAGCCATCTTGAGCCACCACCAGGTAACTGTCACCCGAACCACCTGGACTAGGACTAGGACTAGGTGCCAATAAGAGCATTTGGTCATGGTCCGGGACCCAGGTGGGGAAAACATTGTTGTACCATGGCACACGGGGCGCAACCTTGTTAATCACCAGAGCATTGCTGATTAACTTGGATACAGTGTTTGACATGTGGCGTAGCATACCGTTTGAAACACCCATCTCTATATATCCTGCCAAGCATGTCTCAACGTTTGTTAGAGCCGTGCTTAGCCATGTTTGTATGTCTGAATTGGTGCACATACCATAATTGCTGACAGTTTGTTTGAGCCTTAATATGGTGTTGTCAAAGAGCTCATAGCAGTCGTCCCACGCTGCCTTCTCACCCTCATTTTGGATCATGTCACCAATCTGCATCGCAAAGTTTTTGAGTCGGATGGCTTGTTCTAAAGCAATCACCATGGCTGCAGTTGCAAACTCGGGTTTTCGGTTCACATTGAAGGTTTTGGAGATGTGACGCATGTAGTACAGACAAAGCTCAGGATTTGGTGTTCTTCTGCACCATAAGTCTATGTTTGAAAGACTCGAACCGGGCAATGTCATCGATGAAAGCAGAAGAACAGATAGAAGTGTGAATGGCATTCGAGCAGCCATTCCTATGGATTAACTGGATACTGTTTCTCTTCCCCTGGTTGAACTTGTTAATTGATAGAATGGGGACTGTTGGAATTTATGTGTTCATGTTTAGAACAAAGATTTTATGAGGTTTTCTTGCAAAATCTCCAGTTTTGATTTTCTGAATCCTTGTCTTAATACTCTCAATCCCCTTTGATTATTCTTAAGAATGCTTATATGGTGCAATATGGAAATCAAGGATAATCCGTTATCTCTCTCTCTCCCTCTCTCACAAAGAACATGTATTTACAGATATTCAGTTTCACAAGAAAATCTCTTCATTAAATTTCCTACTTTCATCAAATAAAATTGATTTGATTGGGAACATATGCTAATCTATGTAATAAAGTAAAACGAATTTGAATTTTGGAGACAAAAAGTATCATCTAACGAACGACATTATCCCAAACTATCTCAAACTATTGGCGTCTCAAATAATTTTGATCCGACATATCACATAAACTCTTTTGAAATATTTTTGCTGCTCAAAATTTATAGTTTCAAAATTTAATTCTCTTAAATCTTTTCTTTAAATCAAGTAAATTTCTCTTATTCCTCTGTATCTCTCTCTTTCTCTCACGTTCAATTCACGCAAAAAGTATCAGTGTTTCACAATATTTTGCTTTGTATCTCACAAAAATATCAAAAAAATATTAGATAGTGTGTCATTCAAGCAAATATTACATCTCTCTGTAGATAGATAATATATATCAGAGAAAGAGATAGTATATTACGAAAATATTACTATATATCTCTCTCTGAAAAAAAATTATGCAATAAATATTAGATAAATAGTAGATATCACAAAAATATTCTTTTGTATCTCTCTTTTTCATTCAAACAATATTACAAACACGAATCATACAAATTCAATAGTCAATTTTATTTTGTCTATAATCAATAAAAAAAGCATAATTACAAAAAATCTAATTTAACAAAGAAAATATGCTTAACATGTATAAATTCAAGTTATTGGGAAACTCAGATATCAATAGATATTTTAAAAAAACATGCTTAACATTTAAAATATACAAAATTAAATTCATATACAAATACGAATCATACAAATTCAATATTTAGTGAATAATACAAAACAACAATATTTACTAAATAATGCAAATCTAAATACCCGAGAAAAATAATACAAAATTATAAGCAATACTATAAATATGAATCATACAAATTCAATATTCAGTGAACAACATGAAGCAACAATCTTTACTAAATTATTCAATAGTAAATAACATTTAGTTTAAGAAAATATACTAAAAATATAAATAATTGAAAAGAATGATATAAAATTAAAAACACTATTATAAACTCGAATTATACAAATTTAATAATCAGGTCGTTTCTTTTGAAAGACAGCTGAATTTCTAATAGTTATATTTGGTCATTTAACAATACCTGCAAACTTAGTTTATTTGTGTAGTATTATTTTAATTTTCATTCTGTTAATTATGAATTCTATTATTATTTAGATAAAGTTGATTATGAATGTTAAAATCATGAATTTTGAATCTAAAACAGAACATTGAATATTGTTAACTGATATATTTTTTTTCAGATGTTTGAATTATTATGTATCAGAAGTTATAATATACTTTTCATGACATAACAATTTAATGTGAAAATATATATTATGCATGTAAATTGATGTTATAAAAAATATTAACAGGCTCATTTTATTCGTCGTTTACTATAATATTATATTTTACTTTACATTTATGTATGAACAAATATTTAAAACTAATTTACGAGTAACACCATATCTTCAAGTACGGACAATTGCTAGTTGTTTCATAAAATGCACATGCAAAACATTTTTGCTCTCTCCCTCTCTCTACCACTATCGCTACCACTCATTTACTGTAAAAGTATAGAAAGACGGAACCATAATTTTCATTCTTACTCTCTACGTATTAGTTTATATATCAGTGGCATAGTAAATAGGTAATTGGTTGCAATGGAGATGATAATAACACAATCTCCAGCAAGCTTCTGTTATTCTAATGTCATTCCTTTAATTACATACTAAATCACAGGCATGTTTAAGGTTGGTAAGTACTCTCTTAGGAACGGTAACTAGAGGGAGAAACAAGTCTTTGGTCCACTACTTCCCTCAACGCAGGTGAGGCTACATGGAGAATGGCAGAGAATCGATCTTGAGACATATCGCTTAAAGAGACTTTGATGGTAAAGTCAGGACCAACTAGGCCAAGAAATATTCCAAAACTAATCATGTCTGAGGGGAAAATCAGGAACAATTGTGCATACATTTGAATGGTTACACGAATTTGCAAATCATAAGACCACACATTCTTCATCCTGGATTGAGAGCTCGAGGGAAAACACTTCCATATTTCTCCAATTTATTGGGCAAAGGCTCACCAGAAATGGAATTAACAGTGTAACAATGCCAAACACAAGAACTTAAGAAACCAGCTGATAATTAAAATATATTGAAGGCCCTTTCCATGAATTTACTGGGCCAGTCTCTCTGTGTGTGTGTGAGTGCGGCTTTCAATATTCCAGGAGAGGTGTCATGGCCCGAATAGTTCAGTCCATTTCTACCAGGTTTTGATGGTTTATTGTGCAACACACAGCTGCAGAAAAAGACTGAACATCTCAAACCATTAAATGAACTTGGATGACGTTCTATTTTTGCCAAGATACAGCATCCCTCCACTTCTCTCAATTTAGGCAATGGTCTCTGAGAAAGAGACATTAAACCGGCTGCTTAATTCTCTGCAGGCGATGTATCAGATCTGCAGACATCCCCACGACAAAGCGGACATATCCTGTATCCATCATACCAGTAAGCCAAATTTTTTAGTTATATAACCAAAAATACTAGCAACAATGACAGGTTTACTGCACACCAGTAGTAAATTTGGAAGACATGAACATTGTCTATTATTTTGTATATCACAATAAGGAACTTTTGCCATAATAGAAAAAATCAGCTCAATGAGGGTATACCTGTGAATTTCCTTCAGCCATTTATCAATGCATGTTCTATGAAATTCATGATGGCAAGGCAGAATCCGCACGCTATCTCCTTCCTCATACTCAACAAGGCATATGTAACATCTGTTGAATTGAAGGGTGTGAATAAGATAAACAATTAGCACTTGACCAAACATGACATATGGATAATTAACAAATGCACTGTATGTGTTTCCAAACACTCAGTTTGACGGAATTAGCATATGAGAAAGTTCCTGCTTCAGAAACATAAAAAAGAGAAAAAGAATGAAAATCCTCCATTATTCCAAAAACATGTTAATGTGACTACCATGAATTTCACCTTGCATTCTACCAAAGAGATTACACTTTGGACATGCCCCATATACACCACAAGGTAGACAACTACATAATCAATTATAATGACTGGGAAAGAAAACGGGGCCAGAATAATAAAAGCCTTTTCTCCAAACATAGATTTTTACTCATATTCCTCCTACCATGCATGTAACCTTTGTGTATGGGAAAAATAAAATTCCTCAATTGTGTGATATTTGGATGAGATCATAGCTGTAGCAAAGGGTTCTTTAACAAGTTTATTTCCAATGTTTCAACTCTTGAAGGACACCTGACATGCACTATCAAGTTGCCTGCTGGAATTCCTAAATTGCATTATATCGGATTTTTCTTGAAGGTAATTTACTAGGGCATTAGCCCTAAAAACATCATACATTTAATAAAAATTCAGATTAAGATTAATGTAATCAAATTAGCACACAGTTACTTAGAGTTAGCGAAAGCAGAAGAAAATTTCCGAATGAATATTCTTAATTTATTAAAACTTTCTCGTTCAGGGATATTAGAATAAAGATTTACCACTCCTATCAAAGATATCGTACTCAACTCAAAACAACATAAGGAATAGAAAGTTCAAATATAAAACTCACTGTGCAGCTTCCTCATGCAGATGCTTTTGCATTTTACAGTATGCTTTCAAAGGCAGGGAATCCACAACTTCATTAGGTGCAGGAACAGATCCACTCGAAGACACTGAAGGCCGGGAGGATAAAACTACAGATTGCTGGTGAATTTCATCCAGAACCTAGTTAAGATACGTATAAAGGATTCAACCAATATTGATAATGTTAAAGGAGAGACTAAGAAACATCACTCAAAAGGAAAAATTACCTCAAACAAAGCTTCAGCTAACAAAACAATTCTTGATATGCTAGCCCTAGCACTCGTGTCATCACCAGAATTAGGGTCTCGAGAACTGATACGACATGTGCAATGACCTGTTCGATGTTGACCAGACAAGATACAAGACCTCTCATGTCCAGAGAGGTTATCAAAACGACTACCCAACCGCTGAAGAGCACGTACCTAAACATGTGTCATTTAATTGAATGTTAGATAAAGAAACAAAAATACCACTGATGAAAGGCAAAGAATGACTTAGTATGAGAGGGATAGATTGCCGAAATGGAACTATAAAAGCATTGGAGTCCAGAAGACAGATAACAATCTGTTATGCTACCTCAAAAGGTGAAACAAAAGTTGCAATGCATACTTAAGCGATCCTTTTGAAACTTGGTCATAATTATGTACTACACAGCTAACAAACTACACACCCTGCAATATTTTTTCCGTTCTCTGATCAAGGAAATTTAGGACTATTGATAAAGAGTTAGCTAAATAATTACAAACCTGAGATCTTATTCTTCTTCGACGTTCCAGGAAATTCGAACTATGTTCCAAGAGATCATGATACCTTGCTTCTCGTGGGCGTGAGGTTTCTACTTCGGCATCTTGACCCCTGTACAAGGAATCAGACACAATGGATGAAGCATAACCAGAAGAAATAGGTGAGATCAAGGTGTTCCCGTTGGATGTCGTTGCTCCTGTTCCTCCACTCGAAGCCTGTCTCCCACGACCTTGACTAGCATTTCTCATATCCCCTTCTTCTTGCAAAGGGCAAAATGTCAATTCAGGAAAGGATGACCTTCGAAGAACTCTGTCACGAAGTCTACCAACACTTAGGGTTCTACTAAACTGAACATTCCGTTCCATTGGTTCTCGAGCTCCTATCCTCCGATCGGCAAATCTTGTCTCAGTACCATCTATTTCAGCATTATTTCTTGGAGAATGTAAGTTTACGTTAAACTCAACCATAGTATTACCAACATCTCTGGGCATATCATGAGTGGAACCTATCTGATGATCTTGGAAATCATCAGAAAAACCAGAAGTTGAAGGATGTGACTGTAAGTTTCCAGACGCAAAATCTTCACACTGTGGTCTAGGAGATCTATTAGGGAGGCACGCAGAAAGCAAGTCACAGCCTCGTCGATTTTCTTTTCTATTAACTAAGCCACCAGCAGCACCTCTGTGTTGATGAAGCTCTTCTTCATCATTAGATATTGTGAAACTTGTTGACGATGCATGACAAGCCCCTGAAGACCCTAAACTATTTGCCCTGCTTAGCCTGAAGCTTATGTTACCAGGAAAGAAACTAAAGTTTGAACAGAAGCCACTTGAAGGATTCAATGATCGAGAAGTGAAATCTCGGGCAGAAGTACTAGCACCTCTAGAGACAGTATCGGAGAGGCCGGATTGGCTCCACTCATCAAGCTGCAGATTGGAAGATAAAGTGTCCGTTTCATCAGGTTTTTCAATTTTAATTTTTCCATAACATTCAGATTTCACTTCATCCGAGCCTGACTTAGACTGGGTAGCACACTGGCCGTCACTACCATGTTCTTCCGTCTGATGATCAGAAACCTGAAGCATGAATTAGATACCAATTCAATCACAAAATGTCATACCAAAGGGAATGTTCACCCTGGCCTATGTATGTCTCTTAACATCTCTATAAGTTCATATTTTTACCTCAGGCAAAATGCATTTGTTTTGTGGGAACCCAAATTAATTTCCTTGGTTTTTTCATCAGAAATTCAGTTTCTTGGTTGAAATATGAAAGATGAACATGTGTACCCATCTAGACATCTACATTAAAATACCAACCAACCAACCAAGTCAAGCCTTATGTCCCGTTCATTTGGGTGTACATTAAAATCTTGATTCTAAATGCCCCTCTCAAGAACCCAAATTCTTTTTAACGAGGTAATCGAGGTTTTTTGTTTTTTTTGGTCAGATGTACTAAAGGTTAAAAAGTGAAAAATCAAGAACACCTTTGGCCTTGACTTCAAAATCAATTAGTTATTGCACATAAGAGATCAGAATACAAGCTCAAGTGAAATACCCATATGAAATCTACCAGTCCAAATTGCATAAAGATACATAAATTTGAAATCTTGAAGCAAATGTAGATGAAAAAGGAGAGACACAAAGTGACCTGAGGGTCGTCATTGTCACTGTCGTTTTGAGATCCAGAGGAGGGTGTGCCGAGACACGACGACTGCAACACTTCACTTCCTTTGGATTTACATCTCCGAACACCCGACGACGAGGATGAAGATGACTCTCCAGCATTGGGTTTGCTACCACTCGATCCCATTTTCTCTGTCTTCCCCAACACCCAACCAAATTGCTCTTTTACAGATCCAGAATAAACTTCAGCTCACACACCACCAAAACCCACTTCATTTTTCTTTTTCAAGATTCAGATCCAAAATGTTTGAAACTAGCAATGATTGCATGACGGTATATATAGATACAGTGATGTGTATATATGTACCGGAGAGGGAGAGAGAGAGAGACAGTCTTCTCTGCCTGTGCTTGGGGGATTTAAATTATAACTTGCCCGGAACGCCATGCATGGGTCACATTGAGGGATGGGCCCGACACTGACGAGGTGGGCCCAGTCTGACCATTAGGACCCTATTATCGTCTTGAAGGTGGTTGTTTAATAAAGAAGGATAAATTGTAAGGGGTATATTAAATTAAATTTATTTGATAAAAAATACATATTAAAAAATATAAGGTTATTAAATATTTAATTTTGATATTTATTTATATTAAAGTACATAATTTGAATTTATTTATTTTTATTGTGATATTTTTGTCATCCATTAGTGCATGTGTGTTTTTTATTGTAAAGGAATTAGTTTTCAAATTATATTTGTGTATTAAATAAGTCTTAGTTTTATGAGAGAGAAATACAATACTTTTCAATACAATTTCAAATTTTAAATACACTATTATTTTTAGCTTTTTAAGAGGTAAATATACGGTTGTATTTTTCTTCATGAAACTGGGTGTATTTCTGATATTATTACTGACTGAAGCCGATTTTCCTTCATCACATGTAAGACGATTTTGCTGCTTCTTCCAACCTTGAGGCGAGTTATGCTTCTTCTCCATCCAGCTGCAATCTGATATTGGTCTTCATCGACATCGATATGACACTGGTATATATGTAAGGGGGAAGTCGAGAAATACACACTGATATTTTTGTGCATGAATCAGAGTTTCTTCAAGACTGAAGCCGATTTTCTTCGTCACCTGCAAGACGATTTTATTCTTTAAGCTTTTAATTTTTATCTTCTTCTACTTCCATTTGCAAGCTCATATTGTTCTTCATTCATATGACTACTATGTTTGTGGAAGATATAACAAAACAAACAAAACGTATGTGTTTGAGATTTTGTTCCAGCCGAATACTGAAACATTTAGCCTGACAGTATCATAACAGGAATTACAAGGTATGTTACATTTAACCTATTAACATAACAAATTAATATGTATAAATTTTTTCAGTTTTTATTTGTTTTGATATATGTTTTTTTTTTTGACTTTTTATTGTATCTATTCTTTTAATAGTTTAAGATTTTGTTGGCAATGGAGGAAACGGTGTTGCTGTTATGTACATATGGTAATGATACTAAAGTATTCAAAGTACGTGATAATTCAAATATATCGGAGCTCGTTCGCGAAGTTTGCGAGACGTGGGAGGTGTTGTTTAACTTGTCAGTACATATGTCATATTCTATTCTTGGTCACCCCTCTAACATGTTACGAACCAATGCAGATTTGAAAATTTTGGTTGAATTGAAACGTTGTTTGCCAGGGAATTACGTTGAAGTTAATGTGTTTGTGGAATATATCGAGGGCGGGTCGGTGGGTGATGATGATTGTTGTAGTATGTGAATATTAGTGATATTGTTGAATGTGAAATAGATTTGGTACCTAGTTTTATTGGTCACAATGAGAAAGTTATTCGAACAGCTGGGTAGAGTAATGAAATACGACGAGTAGGACAGAAATTTGAAGGTGGTGTGGTACAGTTTCGACAAGCACTTTGCAAATACTGGATTAAGTGTGGTTTTGAATTTAATTATGTAACGAATTGTAAAGCAAGGGTTATTGCTGAATGTTCATTTAAGTATTCTAAGGGTTGTGGATGACATATAAATGCAACTGTGGAGAGAGCTACTGATTTTTTTTATATTAGAAAATTTGATAACAAACACATTTGTGGTGTGGATGTACGAACGACAGATAACAAGCGAATGCGTTCTAAATTGGTTATAAATCTAATTGTTGATCGTGTTCATGGGCATAGGACAATACGTCCAACATAAGTGGTTGCTAATTTTTTTTATTCTGGTTATGGACTCCCCATTTCTTATGACAAAGCATGGGAAAGAGTTGAGAAAACAAAAGGTATATTTTTGGGGACCATTCAGTATCGTACCAACAATTATGTTGGTATGTCAATGCAGTAAATCGTACTAATCTGGGCAGACATATTGTGTTAGATTGTGATCATGAGACTAATCGTTTCAAAAGGCTATTTGTTTCCTTTAAAAGTTGTATTCATGGGTTTAATTATTGTTGTCCAGTACTTTTTTTGGGATGACACATTTTTGAAAGGCAGGTATAGAGGTAATCTTCTATCGGCTACAGGAAAAGATGGCAACCAAAGTATTTTTTAATACAATTTTTTGAATGATAAATTTTGTGGTTAATTTGTAATCTTTATGTTATACTGTCTTTGTTACACTCTGTTTCTTATATTGTTACACTTTCGTTGTTACACTATTTTTGTTATATTGTCACACTATGATATGAGAACATTTAATAATGAGTCTACACACATGATTTAATTTGAAATAGTGGATTATTACCATTCACCACCCAAAAATATTTTGGAATTACCATCTCATCTGTTACACTATTTTTTTGTTAATATTGTATGTGCTTCATTTTTCCAGGATTGTTTCCTTTGGCATTTGCCATGGTTGACTCGGAGAATGAAGCAAACTGGTTTTGACTTTTAGAACAGTTGTCTAATGTATTGGATCAGTCTCAGATTGTTACGTTTGTATTTGATCGCAACTTGGGTCTGTTAGAGGCAATGCTGAATATTTTTTTAAATGCTCATCATGCATTTTGCTTGCAGCATTTGAAAGGTAACTTGCGTGATAAATTGAGTGGTGGTCGTTTTTCCAATGTATTTCGAGAATGCATGGTGAGATTGTTACGTGAATGTGCTTATGCACCAACACAGTCATTCTTTAATGAGAAGATTGAAGCATTTCGTCATCAAGGAGGTTCTAATGTGGACATGTTCTATTACTAGCATGGTTGACACAATTAGGAGACAGATAATGGATCAAATTGGCCAAAGGATGAAAATATGTTCGGATTGGAATGAGAATTTATGTCTTAATATGTCTTCGAGATTACAAGCTGCATTTGATGAGGGGAGGTCATGGACTGTGCGAGTTTTGAATAACCAAGTGTATGAAGTGATGTCATATCTTTCGGTCACTGTTGATATTGTGAATGACACGTGTTCATGTTGTTAGTGGCAAATAAATGGGTTTCCTTGTTCATATGCAGTTTCTATAATACGAAAGAGTGGGCGAAATATCAACGAATTTGTTGATTATTACTATCATGTCAGCACGTACAAGATGCCATATTCTGAACCGATTTAACCAGTACCAACTATATATCCTGATAAAAGTTCAGATGTGGATGTTAATATTTTGCCACCATCTACGAAGAAGCAACCTGGTAGACCAAAGAATCGTAGAATTCGGTCTAGGGCAGAAATCATTATGCGAATTTGTTGTGGCTTGTATGGGCGTTTGGGCAGTCACAACAAAATTTTTTGTAACGAGTCGTTATAGACTGGTTTATTGCTATCACTTAATGATATTGTTTAATGTTTTAAATTTTCTACAATGTATTTTTTTCCTCATTGGTTTGGTTTCTTTGTTTTAGATAATTTTTCAGGGAAAATCCTGTGGATGAAGAGCAAGAATGTCGCTACAGATCCATTAGAGATAAAAATTGTGCTATAAATATTGTACAGTTCCTCCTTGAGAGGCAAGAAAAAACATAATACCATGAGAGATAATTTGTAAGCCATATTGACCATCAATATAGAAAAAGGGAAAAAAGCCTCCATTAGAGAGTGGATTAATCGAACTCCCGAGTTGGTGAACCACTATATCTTCATTATGCAAACTACCCTAATCCCCCAACAATACTTCTCACAATCCTCGCGAGCTTAGCGGCTCAGGTCCGAGCTGCCAAACATAGTTCATAACTTTTACTCGTCCTTGTTAATTTACGCCATCAGTTTGGCGCTGTCTGTGGGAACGATTGTTCTCGATACAAGTATAATGATCCTTCAGTAACTGATGGTCTCAATACGCAATATGAGCAAAAACCAAATGAATCCCCCACGGGTGTAGAACCAACAGGAGAATACCAGTAGAAAGCACAAAGATTCACAAGATTTCTTCCCCACCACCGATGTCAATCCTCCTATGGTGGATCCTCCCACGAACAACGAGTTGGAGGCCCTCCGCCTAGTCAATCAACGCCTACTAAAATAGAATGAGGAACTACTAAAACTTTTACAGTGACCTCAAGAGAAACAACCAGCCCAAGAAGGCCAGAATAAGCCCCCTTATAGGGAACAGCAACATCTCGACCCATTCAGGGAAGCCGACGAAAGAGGAGAAAATAGCCAGGCTCCCCAATTTCCTCTGAGGAACGGAGACAATGAAGAGGTTCAAAGCCGGAGTCATGGGAATGAAAAGAATAACCTTCGCCCAGACCAGCAGGAGTGAAAAGACCAATACTGGGAGCAGCGCTTCAGAGATATTCAACAGGAGCTCAGCCACATGAAGAAGGCCGTGAGGAGTAAAACTCCAGTAACCATAGACACCTTGGTGCAGCAAACCAAGTCCCCTTTTACTCCTGGGGTGTTGCATTTTTTCCTCCCATCAAAATTCAGAATGCCCTAGGTAAAAGCTTTTGACGAAACCAAAGACCCTATGGACCACTTGAATACTTATAAAAATTAGATGGAGTTGCATGGATATCAAGATCCTATTCGCTGTCGCGCCTTCACCAAAACTCTGAAAGGATCAGCCTTAGCATGGTCCAATAGGCTCCCCCCCGGCCTCGATCTCCTTTTTTAAAGAACTCTCGATATCCTTTGTGTCTGACGTCATCTAAGCTCGAACATATAGAAAGTCAAACTACCACTTGCTGAATGTGAAGTGAGGACCTCAAGAAAACCTAAAGTCCTATATTCAAAGGTTTAACTTGGAATCCCTAAAAGTAGACATCCCAGACGAGAAATTTGTAATTATTGCTTTCATAG